CAACCTTTTTACAAACCACTGAAATGCATTAAAAAGTATGATCACAACCTTTATGTAGATCCTACCCTCTCCTGTTCGACAGATTGGCCCAGAGATTTTTTTCCTGTACCCCAACCTTGTTTGGAAAACCATGCAATCCTGGCAAGCAAATCTTCGAAACATATAAAATCCTGTGGTACAACCTTATGTTACTAATCCTGCTTTCCTGGCTCCAACATTTGTTTTCCTGAACCCCAACCTTGCGACATCCATTTTTTGATGATTTTTACCTGACTTGGCATTTTTATTCGCCGAAGTGGAGTCACAGGAAAAAAAAATTACCGGTAGCACGGGGGATTTAGATTCATTTCAGCGATTGGTGAGGTTTGGAAACCCAGCAACTCCGTTATGAAGAGGAGCATCACGACCGTGTTTTCTTTAGGGGAAACTATAGATTGAACCCATGAAACAAAATTGGCAAATAGCCATTGAATCCATGAACTATGTCAAAAATAGAGAAATCACATGCCAGATATGAATGGATATGACCAACAATATATGATGGGCAAACCTAGCCCTTGATCACCAGGACCCACTGAATATAGAATCGCAAGCTGAACACATCCAATGATGAACCAAAGGAAGTGAGGATTATGTATGCTTGATCACTTCACGTCAGTACTTGCTACATGTTCACGTCAATCAAACAACCTGTGTATCTTGTAAAATTGCAAGTCAAGCAGGGTCAATCTAAAAACAGAAACAATATCCAACTCATTGCCTCTGCTGCAACCAAAGAGATAGCCAGGAGATACCCTGGGTTTCATCTTGTTCTAAACTATTATTCAATTGCGGATCATCATGGCAGAAAGGGATTGAACATGTTAAAACATTTGAATCAAAATGCACTCAGCATATCCAAGCAGTTGTTTCAGATATACCACTTATCATCGCCATCAGACTTCCCCATCAGCATTCTTGTCATGTTTGGTTGTGAAACCATTTGTTCCTTGGTTGCAGCCCATGTATATTCTCATTGTTGGTTGCTAATCACTCCAGATATATACTTTATTTAGCCAGCTTGACTGAATACATATAAATACAACCCTCGCTCTTTCAGGTCATACATTCATTGGAGAAACCCTGATTTCATAACTATCATACTTGCTACCCTCTGGTAAACGTTTACATAACTATATGGAAAATCACAATTTTCAATGGGTAAATCAACGATTTCTATGGCCATGTTCAATAGCTTTTTGTATGTTTACCAGAGGGTAAATCCCATTAAAATCCCATTAAAATCCCATTTTCAATAGATATCTTAGTTTATCAGTTCAATCCCCTCCTACGATGTCCGGAAGTGACAGTCAATTTTTTCACCCAGTCACTGTCTTCTCTTGCAAAATCACGGCCGAGTTCTCCAGATCGTAACGTACCTTAACCGCGGGCTGAGTTATACAAGGTGGTGCCCCCCAGTTATAAGTTGGTTTATGAGCCCATTAACTATAGATATATCACCTATAAACCATAGTTATTGGACTTATAAACCAACTTAGCTATCTTGGGGGCACCACCTTGTATGGAAGTCATATTGACATTAGATGCAATCACATGAACCGCTGTCAAATTGTCAAAATTGCATGGATTGAGGCAGATCCAAACTGCAAGTTATTGTTATTCTTTTGAGGGAATCAGTTTCATGGACCAGGTCCTTCTGTGTTCCCTTCTTTCCCCTCTTTTCCTCTTTGTTCCTTTTCCCTTATATGTGCCTTTCTTTTGCCTTCTTTGCTTTATATATTTCATATAGTACAATTACCATATAATATTGTATACATACATATATTGTTTTTTTTTTTGTCATAACCTATAACAAAATGTATATTATATAGATACTTAATATACTTATACATTATACAATACATTATAGTATATGTATGTATATGTATATATTGTCATATACAATATACAAGTATGTGTATATAATATATATATACAATATGAATATTATATATGTATATGTACCAGTGCCTTTTCTTTCTACCATGACCATTTTTTTCTCGCCAAAGAAACCCAGGGTCTCAGCGCAAAGCCTGTGTCCTGCAGGGTCTCGTTTTTTTTTTCCACCCGCCGGGAGTATTGGATATCTGGTATTTTAGATGCCCATATCCCATATGCTCCATGGTGCTGGAATATTTACCAACATGTGCCCTAAAAGTCACCCAGTTTTGTAGGTAAATATACCATACATGGAGCATTAATGGGATATATTATGATATATTTCATGATATATCAGATATACTTATGGATATGTTTGGGATGTAACTGGCTTAACAGTACTTAACTACTTAACTAATCACCCGAGAGTCACCCATGGTGGACAGGATGACAGCTACTTGGGAGATCTTGGAATGGGTGTGTTTAATGTTAGGGGGATGGGATTATGAAAAAGATGTAGTGTGGTGTGGATATGTAGTTGTTGGATATGTACTTGTTGGAGCCACACTTTGATGTACTTGATCTGTAAATGAAAGCCCAGATCAGGATATTCAATTAATCTCTCACCAGCATTGATCTCACTCTTAATCTCTCTCCCAACTTTGGAAAACAAAAGAGCAATGAGGATGGGAGTTGAGCAAGCAGCAGTGTGGCTAGTGAGAGACCAATGGATATTTCGTATATTTCATCAGCAAAAAACATGTCAAAACAAAACAATTGATGTGGTGCAACCCATAATTGATGGACCTATGGACCTTGGGTCACACAGAAGTGACCGGCCCATGGTCCGCCTCAGAGCTCCCAAATCTTGTTCAGTGGGTCTATGGGGATGTTCCAGCCACGGTTGACACCCGAGGCTGGGGTTTAAGGCAGACATATATCTGGGTAAATTATAATATTTCACTAACCTGAATAGTTCGGCCATTTGGGGATGATTCCCCTTATGATTTCCAGGGCTCGGGAGAACAGGGTTTGGTCATTATAATTTACCCAGATATCTGGATGGCTTCATAAAGCAACTTATAATTTGGCCTCCCTTCAAGTTGACACAATTTTGATCCTACAAACCCCATGAAATCTCTGACAGAAGCGCCTCTGGATAGTTCTCATCCATGCCCCGGTAGTAGGCCAAGGCGCCTGCAAGCCGCAGGAGGGGCGATAAATCCTGACCCATGGTTGAACCAAGATCTCTATCCCGAGATAGGACAAAAATCCTCCACTCCAGGTGGTGCCCCCCAGTGATGGTTGTTGGTTGATTATACCATAAAACAAATATAAAACACAAGTCACTTATTGGAGGTGTGTGTTATCAACGTAGCGTTCAGCTTCCTCAGCACGGACCGCATTACTGTACCCTTTTCCTCACCTTCTCTGTCAAGCCGAAAAGGGTGCTTCTTGGCCTGCTCAACCATGGATCAACATCGAACCAAGGTCTTTAAGAATCAGAATGAATCAGAAACCATCATTTTTTGGGGGGGTCAAGAAGGCACTGCTGGGTGTTTTTGAATCTGGACGCTGCAACGGGTTTGTGATCAAGGGGATGAACAGAATGACGACACTTCACCTGCATTGGCATCATGATTGTCGTAGAGGGGCGGAATTAGTATGTTTTAAGGTTTGAAGTCAATGGCTTGCACAGCATACACTTCTGCAAATCAACCATAACAGCCAGGAACAAAACAGATATTTATATCATTTTATATCGCAGGTATGAGGCAAACATGGGCACACAAAGGGAACAGTATACGGGAACCAAGTAAAACACTTGACCTATTGCCAATAGGATCCCCCTGGAGGTGGGTCCTACCATTCGGGGATGGCAAACGTACAACCCATTTGTATACATTTAAGTGGTGATTTTTGGCAAGCTACGGCATTCTACGAATCTTGCTGGTTCCACCCTTTTTGACAACCTTCCCATCACCTTCCCATCGGCCGCACATGTTCCGCTTTGCCCGGAGACAGAAGCGCCGTTTGTTGGATTCGCGGCGTCCGCCGCTCCGGCCAGGGGATGATTTCGGTGACTCTTTTTCGCCAGATTTCATCAGATTCCTGTGTACCCAGGTTATTGTTTGATCAATTTGGGGACAAATCACCAACCTTCACCAAGCCATATGCGAACCATGGTGCTGGTAGATTTACAAAACTGGGTGATTTTGGACGTTTGGGCAAATGTTGGTGTGCATATTCCAGCACCATGGGTTGCCCTGATGGGCAAGCAAAAATTGGAGACGTCACCAATGGAGATTCCCTGGGAACTGTCATCCCCTGGCGCTGACTTTGCGTCATCCGAATCGGAGCTGTGATACGGGGGCGACAGCAGCGGCAGCCGCAGACCGATCGATAGAGCTTCCCAGGGACACATGCAGTGGATTTTCGATGATCTTTTGGCCCAACGAAGAAGTTTGCCACATGGAAAATTAATATATGGAACATGGAATACATTAGATATACATTGATATACATCTCAAATTCTCAATATCAGATATACATAGATATACCGATATATATTATGGAAGCACTCTTCAAGACGAAACATCAAAGACCATTTTGTTGCACGTTGCTTGGCATACAAATTATATAATCATATAACCATTAGAAGTTGATATGGGTAGCCTTAGTGACTTCACATCACCCTCAAGCTCTGATGAAAACTCTCGAGCCTCTACTTCCCAAGCAAGAAAAACCTCGATCTCAATCATTCTCAACGACGCAGTCTCACAACTCATGCTGTTGATCATCACAACTCAGGAAAACAGATTTTCAAACACCACAACTTCGCATCTGCTCCTTATGGAGTTTTACTGGTTGGCAATCTTCAAGATCATCCCATGTCTCAGGATAATTAGCGCAGATTGCTATCTCCAAAGCCATGAGTTTTTCCTGTTTGTTTTTTTGCTGTACAGTTATGGCCCGAAATACCACTTATAAGTACTGAAATCAGCCCATAATAATGGAATGTATAATCCCATGTATAATCAGTTGTAACCATTTATAATTGCTAAACGGCCATGACTGTGGGTCTAAACTGTTGAGATTGCCAACCACATGACAGCAGCTGCTTGAAACCCTTACAGCCTTCTCAGTAGCCGCCCATGAACATGGCCGAGCGGAAAAGAGCGGGGAACTTTTTCTTGACCCGCTCCAGTTCCTGCATCGCCAGCAACAAATTTGCAACCGTTGACTGGTGAATCAACAGGGAACAAAAACAGAAAAACAACTTGAGTAATGTGGTTAAAACAATGCCATAAACCACCCATGACTGGGAATGGTAACCATACCACCTATAAAATGGTGATGACTGGGGGAGAGTTTATTGTTTGAACCACATTAGACATAGGGTACATGCCATCAATGAGGTCTATAGACATTTAAAAAAATGAACCGTTGGATGATGACAGCATGGGTAAGATGGAGTTAAGAGGCATCAGACATCAAACATTGCATCTAAGTGAGTACAATTTGGGGGTTTCCATAAATGGGTGGTACCCCCATAGCTGGATGGTTTATCATGGAAAATACCATTAAAATGGATGATTTAGGGGTACCCCCATTTCAGGAAACCTCCATTTATCTGCAGAGTAAACAAACTGGTGAAAGGCGGTAAGTCAACAAGAATGAACATCCAGCGAGACGTGGGTTTTCACCAACAAATACGGGTAAATATCTATTGCATACCTCAACCTCAGTGTTTTCTTTCTATGACAAATCACTGGTCTTGAGGTATCTCCCCATTGTCAAAACCAACTGGCGGTGGTCATTTGCGGGATGAGAATCTATCCCAGTGTGGGGACACGTGTTGGTTTCTGGTGACCCACAATTCATCTTCTAATCATTCTAATCCTAGTTGGTGGTTGACCTACCCCTCTGAAAAACATGAAAGTCAGTTGGGATGATGAAATTCCCAATATATGGCAAATAAAAGCCATGTTACAAACCACCAACCAGATTCAAATCATTGAAGTGGTAGTCTCCAGTGATAAGATATAGAAAAATCAAATATCTGGTTGGGGTCACAACTTGGGATGGCTGATCAAAGTTGCTTGGAATGCTGGGTCATCCCAATATTTTTTCGGATATGTCCCGATTGTGCATATTTGTGGTATCAAATTACATCCCACTTACCACTTGTCTTCGCTATCACTTCTATAGCAACAACCCCAAATCCCCACTTGTTCTTTGTTAAACCTACCCTTGTCCTCATCACAACAAGGGTTGGTAAGTGTCGCAACTAAACATCATCCAACTATTGGGAACATTATCTCCAACAAACCAACCCCCAGTTATAAGTTGGTTTATAAACCCCATTCACTATAGATATATCTACCATAAACCATAGTTATTGGAGTTATGTTCACCAACTTAGCTAACGAACTGGGGCACCACCCTCCATCGGGTGTTTCTGCGCTCCTTGCAGGCCGGTCGTGGATGGTTCCGGGCCGCTTGGAGATCCTCCTGACTCCCGCGGCGCTTCGCGGCCAACACCTGGACCCGTGGCAAACGGTGGTAGGAACCCCCGGGCGATGTCGGAAAGTGTGGTTGTTTGAAAAAGATAGTTTTGTTGACTGGTTGGTGGTTGCTGCTAACCCCTCTGAAATGGCTAACGTATGGTTATTATATGGTTAATGATGGTTAATAATAATCTGGTTGGTGGTATACCTACCCCTCTGAAAAATGATGGAGTGAAAGTCAGTTGGGATGATGACATTCGCAATATAGGGAAAGTCATAAAATTCCATGGTTCCAAATTCCAAACCACCAACCAGTTGATGAGAAAACACTCCAGTAAATTTTCACTGGAAGACCCTGCCCTGAGTCCGGGGTTGGACGATGAGTTTCCCCTCAAAATGGTTGATTTTCAGGGACAACTTTGCGGCATCCTTTTGGGGTGTTACCTTTTTCAAATTGCCAAACAAAAACTGGTTTGTAAATAGATGTACATAATTGCAAATGGGTATCCGTATGAATTTGGTTATAATTTATAGCAATCAAATGACCATCATGAATACAGGGTTTTTGACAATCAATAATATAGACATGGAACTCGGTGTTGACATATTTTCAACTGTAATCTGGTAAAGCCAGCAGTAGACCTACTATACCAATATCAGGAATGGTGTATGCCATTTACCCTCTGGTACACGTTTACATAACTATTGAAAATCACCATGTTTAATGAGTAAATCAACTAGTTCGACTGGGCCATGTTCAATAGCTTTTTGTATGTTTGCCAGAGGGTATACCCTCTGGTAAACTAACATAGCTATTGAAAATGGCCATTTATAGTGAGTTTTCCCATTAAAAATGGTGATTTTCAATAGCTATGTTAAATTACCAGAGGGTATATTCCATCTGGACCAATATCAGGGATGGCAACTATTGTCTGATCATCCAAGTGGTCTTTTGGAGGCTCCGCAGGAACCCTGGATGAGCGCTGTCGCTGCTGGCCCATCTTTCACACCCTGCTGGTCGTTGGGCAACATGAATGTAATTGATATTGATGATGCCTAACCATACCAAATATCATCAAATATCCCTATATCATATATCACTATATATTCATAAATGGGGTAAACCAAACTATATCATATATTATATGTCATATATCACCATAAATAAATTGGTGGTTAAAAAAAAATGGTAGTTGTTTATGTCATTGGGTTGCCCACATTAAATGTTGAATTTGGGTAATGATTTTGGACAATCTTCTAGGTATACTGTACCGTCTTCTAGGTAGCATTTATCACTATATAACACCCTTTGGAAAATCATCACTTTGAATGGCTACATCATCGCCATAAATGGGTCATGGCTTCCATAGCGAACTGTTAGTCATTACCAGGGGGTATAACTCATATAACCTATAAACTATACTCATCCACAGTGAACCCATTTTCATCCATTTTCCACGCCTTCTTGTACTGCGTCTTTTCCTGGTAGTCACAGTCGCTGTGTAGGCTTCGGATGTGGTAGATTTCCACCTGAGTCGGTACACCATTGTACATCATGTATAACTCCACAAAAAACATCAAACATACAAACAATGTGGCCCCCCCCAGTTATGAGTTGGTTTATAACCCCCATTAACTATAGTTATAATTAAGTACAATAAACCATAGTTATTGGAGTTATGTTCACCAACTTAGCTATCTAGGGGGCCCCACATTGTATCATCCAAGTTCTGCTTAAATACCCAAGAATTGTTGGTGAATTTTCCCCACTCTTGGTGCCAAAATCCCGATTTTGTTGGTGAAACCAGCTGTTCTTTGGCAGTTCCGATCAGCACCCCTCGCCTGTCGGTCAAACTCCGCCAGATTGCGGGTGCCCTCGTTGTAGTGCTCCTCGAAATCGTCCGTCACGTAGTAGGCCACGTTCAGGGTGGCAGTACTTCGTTCGTTGCGGTAGGCATTGTTTGGCTGAAAGGAAAACTTGCTACCACCGTCCTGAAGGGGACGATTTCCAGGTCGCGAGGTGAGGTTCTGATTATTCTAATTCGTCCAAATGTTTTGATGTGTGTTGCAGTCTCCCTTATTAAGCAAAACAAATAAAGTAGTACCCATTAGTGTCCTGGGACTCTATTGTGTGAAAATGTTCAAAAAAAATGGAATATTTTGTGAATGGGGGTGAGCCTCTATTGTGAGAAGTTTTTTCTGAGATCCATTTTTTTTCAGGAGGAGCTTTATCCACCTTTCTACACCTTTCTTTGGGTAAAGCTGGTCCATTTACTTTAGAAAGTCATATCCATGTTAAAGCCTTGAAAATGCAAGGTTGTCCAAATCATTAGATGCCTTATTAAACCCTTAGTTTAAAAAAAAAAAGCACCCACACATTTTTTCAAGGGGGTATCCCATGTGTGACCCAGATCCTCAATAATGTAATTGTTTCGATGGTACCCTATTGTGCACAAAAACTTTTGGGGCCATGTTTTTTGGATTTAAAAGGAAAATCAATTGAAAGTAGATTGATGTCAATTGAAATCCTTACTTAAGTTGACTATCCAAAAAATTGTTGAGGGAGGGGCGTTTAAAATGTCGATTTATTGAATATCGTAAAATTGTTGAGGGCCCCCCCCCCCACACTAATCAGTATCCAACATTACTAACAAATCATCTCGCGTCAGGTCTTGTGTAAACTCGCAGAATACCTTGTATCAATAGATTGGTTTAAGGGAAATTTTACAGGGAAAGCCCCACATTTCATGGGAAAATCTACTGTATGGTTTCCTGTATGTTTTCCCTTCAACCAATCCATTGATTGTATAAAAGTCCACCAATATCTGTTGGGTATGGGCAACGGCCCAGAAAAAATCTGAAAAAGCGCCACGGCACTCAGGCGTAGCCTCATGGTGAAGCTGGCAATAGATCAATTTGAATCATAATCTGGTTGGTGGTTTTAAAATGTTTTAACCATCTTGAAATGGGAAGGATGACATCCCATATATGATGGACCACAAAACATGTTTGAAACCACCAACCAGTTTCTATATCCTGTGAATGATTGGGTTTTCTGATAAAGCATCCCACCTATCTGAACAACCCACATTTTGTCTTTTCCGTCCTTCGCGGCAAAATTGGAGGCCAACGTCAAGAGTACCAAGAGCAGTACCGGCAGAGCCTGAAAGATTTGCACACGCTGCATCTGCCCATCGTCATGGTGATGTCCTCGGGAGTCTTTTTGCCGGCTCCAACATGGTTATCCTCCAATGTCGGGCTAGAAAACAAAGAAAATGTAGGCTTTAACCAGTAAAAACAATCAATCATATTGGTATAACAAAAAGTTAATGTAAATAGAATTGGAAATAGTGGGAATATCATGGAACATTTTTGCTCCAGGAACTTAACATCGTGATTTACAGAATGGGGTTTACCATGCTTGCTTTCCGGATGATACTCAAAATTCCCCACTACAGCTTCTGCAGTAAATTGGTGGATGAACCAATGTCAAAAAATAATCAGATCTTTTGGCTGTTTCCCCAATCAATCGTTGGATCTTGCCCAGAAAACATGTAGCCCAAAACATGCCAAAAACCATCAAACAGACTCTTTTTTCTCCTTTAATTGATCCCACCCTATCAAAACCTCATCGATTGGATTTTGTGTGCAACTATAGGCCTTAACAGTTATGATTGGCTTATAGTAACATATGTAAAACCTTTGTTATAGGAGTTGGTTCATCCCATTTACAACTGTTAAGGGCCATCACTGTGGATTTTGCCGCCCAAAACAATCTGGCCAACTCAGCCAATGCACGGTGTCGGGGCCCATGGTGATGTTGATGGAATGCCGGACCGCCACCGAAAAACGCGGCAAACAGGTCCTGGTGTCACGGTCCCAAAAGCAGGCTGCGAATCTGAGCCGTTTTTTTGTTCCAAGTGCGTTTTGAACATGGGGGATATGCCAAGGGTCTGGGCATTTTTTCGGTGAAGCATGGTGAAGCCTTAAACTCAAACCATAGAAATTTTGCTGGGATTCTATGTTCAGACAGTTACTAGGTATATGCTATGCTTCAGTACCAGTGGCTCAGCGGTAATCAAGTCGAAGGAGCCATGGGCCACTGGGGGGTGTTTTCGACCATGGGTCACCTGGGGTCGGAAACCCATCATGACGCTTGGAAGTAGACTAACATTGGCTTGTGCCAAGAACAAGCAGGAAGCTAAGTCTACCATATTTAGCTGCATTTAGCTTTAAAGGTCACAACCCTGGTGCCCTTCTGTTCACACGAAATAGCTGGATTTTTGCTGGATGTTCAATGCCCATTCTCTACACTTAAAGCCCTTTACCAGCTATAAATTGTTCAAAGCGGTTGTAAATGGGGTCATCATTCAATAAATGGGGTTGTAAGTTGTAACTGACTTAATTATAACTGGTAAAGGGCCATAAAATGCCATAACTGGAAATATATTTGGGAAACTTACAAGTCCTGACACATCTGACAGATCCCCATACTTTGTCTCCATGCAAGGCGGTGCCCTAGTCTGTGAACGCGAATTTGGTTTCCACATAACTCCAATAACTGTTGGGTTTATGGTTAATATATAAGAGAGTCAATGGGAGGTATAACTACCTTATAATTGGATTATAGCCACCATTTACAAGTTTAATCCCAATTTTTGCTGGAGAACATGTTTACCAACTTCGCCATCACTGGGGGGCTCCACCCTGTAACCTCTCTGCACGTTGGTCCTCGGGAGTCATGAAATCCTGCTGGTAGTGGTGGCGCTGTTGCTGTGGCATTCGCTCCTCATCCCCATAGGTGTCATAGACTTGCCTTAGGGTCGATCGGAGCCGTTTGAACCGTGGTGTGAAGCCAGTTCACCCCTTGGTGAATATCGATAGACGAGTTGGTATACATAGACTGAGCTCCGTCAGTCTAACCTGGTTGCGAACTGGTTCTCGTGGTGTATTTGTAGCTATTCCAATCATGGATTTTAATGGTCGCTTTTCAATAGGTTAGTGGAAGCCCCATATTAGCAATCAATCACTGGGTTTTTGACAGTGCTCAACTAGGCTAACGGATGCAAACGGATGGATTGACATTCTGGATATTGGGGTCGCTACCAATGGCACTTCCGTGTCTGCTATTTCGGGATGGGTTGTAAACATGTTCCCCTTCTGTTCACATCAACATAGCTCGCTAATGAGTTTCTCATGGATGCCCATCCTGCCCTTGAAAAATGTGTTAATATGCGGCTTTGTATCTCCTGTTGCCTCAATGTTCAATGTTCATGAGCCACCTGTTCAACGTGTTCATTGCTTGGTACACTGATATGGAGGTGTCCTAACATCCATTCAAATAGGATTTTCCACTATAAATATACACCATCCAGCTATTGGGGTACATGGAAACCCTCATATCTTGTCATATCTTAAGACCTTGGGGCAGCCATGTCCCGGGACACGACCCATGTCCGTCCCAGGATCTTTTTCTCGGGGTCCGTAAGGCATTGGAATGCTTTGCTGAGCTTCTTGAACGCCTCTCAAGTCTCAAGTCAGCCGCACAAGAAATGGACCCAACGAATGGCGCCCCAATGTGGTGATCAATGGATTGGGTTAAGGGTTTCCTGGGAAAACCCCATGTTTTCATGGGAAAATCAATGGTTTCCTGTAGATTTTCCCTTAACCCAATCCAATGTGGTGACCATTGAAATTGGCTTCACATGAAATATATTACAGCAAGACATGTATATTCCTAGGATCACAATTACAGTATCACCAAATTGCACGACGCATAATATGGTAGACACACCTGGTTACCTGGTTGTGAATTGATAAAGCTTAAGACTAAGACTATATCCCATATGCTCCTTGTATGGTATATTTACCTACAAAACTGGGTGATTTTGTTCGGGCAAATGTTGGTGCATATACCAGCACCATGGAGCATCTGGGTATCTGAAAAGATCTTCTTTCGCACACTAAAAACAGATGTCGGAACGTTCACCTCCCCATGGTGTTTGCAACAATTTTGTTAAGGGATTTCTTGGGCAAATCCCCATGGCATCCTTGCCAAATGGAGCCAAATGCGTCTAGATTATCATTGGCCCACATGAATCTGGCTGAATTCTCCCCAAATCCCACGGAGAACATCATCAATGTTCACATCAAAACAAAGGTTTTTTTTGGAGTATCCTTATCCTTTGGTAAACGAACATAACTATGGAAAATCACCATTTTTTTTGGGTAAATCAACGAACTAAATGGGCAATGGCTTCCATAGCAAACTGTTAGTTTACCGGAGGGTATCCGTATCATTTTTGGGCACGCCCAATCATCATCGCAGCGTTTCAACGGTGGGTCGCCCCTGCGGCTCCCAACCTCGTCGGCTCCGGGCGCACCGTTCTTGTCGGGGTGCAGCTTCAAAGCCAACTTTCGGTAGGCCTGACGAAGAAGACACATCGACCGGTGCCGTGAAAAAAGAAACGCAAATTTGCACCCAAAAAAATTGGTGTCCTCTCTTGTCAAGTTGCAGAGATGTCCTACAATGGGGGTATACCACGGTATAGCGTATTCCCCAATATTGGAGATACGGAAAGGTCTGGCTCAACATTGAAGGCGTATTTCACCCTGACCTGACCTTCTTTGCGACCTCCTCATTTGCATTCTTTGGAACCTCCAAGATGTCGTAATAGTCCTGCTGGGAGTTGCTGGGACTTCAGCTACCCACCAAAAAATGTTCGCGGGTTTATGTTTGATCATCTTCTTACTGGTGCTTAGTAGGGAATGGATGGGAATGGGGGAATGGGATGATTATTACTAGTGATTATGGATCATTCCCTCATTCCCTGCTAAGCACCAGTAAGTGATCTTCACTTATTTTGGGAGTCATGATAATGTGGGGAAGAAAGTTTAGAGAAAACATGCCGACAGTGTAGACACATCATGCAGTATAGAACCTGTTTCACTAGAAAGGATTGGAAATTAGAATCCAAACCATATCGAATGACGTCGCCTTTTTTTTTATTGTGTGTCAAGCTGTTGGTTCTTTCAAGCTGTTTGTTTTCAGTTTGTATCGTAATATTGGCCATGAGTGGCATCAATTTTCCACCACAATAAGCAGGAATACTGCAACCAACCATTCCTATGCTACCTGTGCTTTCCCACCTTCCCCAGCCCAAGCATCCTTGGTTCGGAGGATGCGCTGCACCAACTGCATTTGCTCGGAGGTGTATTGTTTGCCATCCTCAGCTGGCATAGGTTGGATCCGTATGAGGTGTACATTCCAATAAGTTTCTTGATTAACTATGCAAGAATGGATGTTAACCAATTTATATCTTAAGTTTACCATCTTATCAGATTAGCAACTATCATGTTATCCTAGTTCGGAATCAATTATAAATGGATTGTTCACCAACTTATATAAATTCACCAACTGATCTACCAGGTTCTTCAAAGTGACCCTCTTGAGGTGGTCAAGCGACCCTTTTGGGATTAAGTGATCTTGGTGGCTGAGAAGGTCACTATTGAAGAAGCAGGAAATAAATGGGTTATTATCTATTAGTGGGATAATATTGATGAAATGTGTTCAAGTATTGTTAATATATCATCTATGAGTCTACAATGTGGGGTCCCCTAGATAGCTAAGTTAGTTTATAATTCCAATAACCATGGTTCATGTTAGTTATAACTATAGTGAACGGGGTTTAATTCCACCAACTTCGCTATCTAGGGGGCCCCACATTGTGAGACTACAAAGTCTATTAAAATAAGCCTATATAAATCATAAATTATAGAAATCTACTACTGTTATTTCTGTATAACCCATAGGATCCATGTATGGTATATAGGCTAACATTGGGGGTATATTGATGGTAAATGTTACCATATATAGCATACATGGATCCTATGGGTAAGTCTATAAATAACCCAAGATCCCATCCCCCCTCCACCGCGCCTTGGTGGTTCGCACGTTGCTCGCCGCGGCGCGTTGCCTCGGCCCCTCTGAGGCCGTCGGGTCCGGCGCGCGCGCGGCGCCAGGCGACGGCGAGGCGCCGGGGGAGCTGCCGCCGGTGGCGCCGGCGGCGGCCTATCCGCGGTGGTGGACGAATGGAGGGGAAACCCAGGGGAAAACCTCTGAAAGTGGTGTTTTCCTACAAAAATTGGGATCTCATCAGCAAAATGCGGAATTACATCAACCAAAATGCTGACTTAACGAGAAAACATGAAGATTTAACCGGCCGGAGAAAATGGTGAATTTACCCATGAAACCTGGGACGTAACCATATAGACATTTTGGCACAACTCATGATAAATTTGGGATTCTCAAGTATGATTTGAGACGATTTTAGACAATGTAGAGGTTCCTAGGACAATTAGCCATTCTCCATAGCTATCTTAAATAACCCTTCTAGCCGAGCTTCTTATCAATCTTTTAGCCAACGCACCGGCATCCCATTTGTTGCCTTCAGGGTCCTATGGTTTTTGGGCCGTCTTTCCGAATACACGGATTGACTCCCCGGTTTGCTCCTGGTTTGGGCTGACACACCTAAGGGGGTGCCGGTCAGTTTTTGCCGAGGGAGGTTAAGAGGTTTTGAACATGTTTGAACCCAAGGCTTGCACATACATCTTTGACTGGTCATTGATCCCCAAGTTGCCTAATAACCAAAGCGCAAAATGACTCAGTTCAGTCATGGTGTTTGCAACTTAAATCCCCATTTCTATCATGACTTGTCCTGGGTAAATCATGGTAAATCTAAAAACATCCCATCTCTTCAAGGATCAAGCACCACATTTTGGGCGATAGTCCTGTCCCTGGTCTCTTTCCCGCCTTGGCTAGGAGGTCATCGATGGATGTGTCCGTTGGACACATGCGCTTGGCCTTCTGAAGGAAGCGAGATGCTTTTTCGGCCTCGGCGACCATCAAACGGTGGGCATGAAATCACCAAGAGATTGGGGGTTCACCAGAAAAGAGATGGTAAATTATATAATTATCAATATCATTATCATATACAGGGATATATATATTGGGATAATATTAATTAAGTAAGATTATTGTAACATTATATAGCAAGTCTAAAAATCCCCCTAGTGAATCTCCTACTCAAGTCCTATGATCCCCAGTTAATCCAAGATATTTGGCCATAATTATAAGCAACATTACCCTCTGACAATTTAACATAGCTATTGAAAATTGCCTTTTATAGTGAGTTTTCCCATTAAAAATGGTGATTTTCCATAGCTATGCTAGTTTACCAGAGGGTAACTATTATATCCCAGATATCCTGATATGTTTTCTCCTAGTGAATCTCCTATAATAAAGTCCTATATCACCCAATATTTTTTTAAGCAACGCTAAGCTAACACCACTGACTGAGGTCCCCAACATCTCCAGCCGCCAGTGCAGCTTGCGCAATCCTTGGATCTCTCTCTGGATCGCTTGGGATTCCCCAAGATGCGGTCGACCATGGGTCAATGGGAGATCTTCAGGATCCTAAAATGTAGCTACCCGGCCCGGTAAACATACAAAAAACTATTGAAAATGGCCATTTATAGTTGATATTCCCATTAAAAATGGTGATTCCTCCATAGTTATGTTAGTTTACCAGAGGGTACTGTACCATAGAAGTATAAGATAGTATAAGGCCATATGTTGTGGGGATATTCACTGAAATTTAGGCCTAAACAAATAGGCCTTATATATGGTAAATGCATGTAAATTATCATATTTCACCAACCTGAAATGTTGGGCCATGTGGGGATGATTCTCCTTACTAAACATGATTCCAGTGAGGGAGAACAGTGAGGTCGTTTTTTTTCCAGATTGGTGAAATCCCAAGTAGATTGGAAATTTCAATCCTAAAGATGTGAAAATTCACAAATGGAACATGTTAGGATTGATGACCATCTGGATATAAATGGATAAATGGATTGATCAATTACTAATTTGGGAAGGGCGTTAATGTTAACTGATGTTCAAATCTATGATAGAGAACTACACATGTTCGGCAAATAAATGGTCATCTTAGGCAATTGTTTGGCAATAAGATATAGACCTGGGCACAAGAGTAGATTTCCAAGTCATGGATAGTCATGGTGGATTTAGAGTAGCTGGAAAATATGAGACGCTGTGCAACAAAGTAATCAATAAAGCTTAATATCACACACAAAAAACAAGTGGATATATAAACATGGTGGATTAATAGGGAACTATATAATATATGATAAACTGTGCAAACAAGAAATCAAGCATATGTGCAAACATGTGCAAACAATATCAACAGAAAAGAAGCAAAACAGATCCAAACAGCAACTTGCTTTCATGATCATTACCCCCATAGGTTTCATGATCAAAAAACCATCAAAATACCATAAGACAAACCCAAGAATCTGCTTGCACTTCTCGATCTCCTCCTTGTTGGCTTCCGACATGGCGATCCGAACCAAGCTGCTGAGGACTGGTTTTTGAAAAAGCCTTCCTGCTGAAAATGAAGAGCTGCAAGTCGCAAGTGTTCATAAAGTTATAGAATTTATAGAAGTCATGAGGATAGTGCATTCCCTGTATTCGGCTGCTGTTTCTTGGTTTTTGTTGGACATATCTCTGAGGTTCTTTTTTGTCTGGGGCTGGAGCCGGGAGTTTCATCACCATTGCATCACCATTTTTTTCGGATAAAGCGCTGGATTTAGGGATGCCCATATTGGATAGCATACAAGGTGGTGCCCCCCCAGTGATGTTAGTTGGTTTATAAACTGAATGAATACTATAGATAAATCTACCATAAGCCGTCATAAGCCATAGTTATTGGAGTTATGTTCACCGACTTAGCTAACGAGCTGGGGCACCACCTTGTGTCTTCAGGCAAACCCTTTGGGATGTGCCTAAGATGGTCCCCATGTTGAGGTTACCACCGGCCACTGGATTTAGGGCTCAGAAGCGCCTCTGCCGGCTTGAAGAGTACAGGACCCAAGTCATAAGCAAACCTCAGCTTAGCACATGAGAAAAAACTTCAACAATGGCTCAAAACGAACATGTGTTTTACTGCTTGGTGGTTGACCTACCCCTCTGAAAAATCATGGAGTGAAAGTCAGTTGGGATGATGACATTCCCAATATATGCAAAAATAAAAATCATGTTTCAAACCACCAACCAGTTTATGTTTTTTTTGGGGGTAAAGAACAAACACATGGCTTTGTAAAGTAAAATACGATAATTACATATAATTACCCTACATCCACTGGGTTATCATGTGTTTTCCTATTAAATCGCACATGTCCATCCCAGCTTTGAGGGCACTCGATTTCTTGCTTCCATCCATATATTCCCATATAGGTTCCCCATAAAAATACCAAAATTCTCCAGAGTCGTAACGAAAAAACATCACCAGCACGACATTCGTCTCAACCGCCAGGTGGCATACGGTCCACAAACATCAGGGCATGCTCCTTGTAGCTCCACCTACCACAGCGTTCGCACCGTGACTTGACGCGCACCAAGCGCACCGTTGAGTGGTGCCGGCAATGAATCTTTGGCTTAACCGATATGAATTGACCCATGGAACTATGGCCATTTATTAGTTATAAGTACTAAGAAAACCCCATTGATAGAATGTAGAATCCCATTTATAACCAGTTATAACTGGTAAATGGCCATAACTGCATGGAACTGTCATGGAACTGTCAACGAAAAACATACAACAGCCAAGAAAATGACCATTTTGACCAGCATGTTTTCCGACTTTGATCATGTCAATTTACCCGAAATGAAACATGGCTGCCTGGAAAATCCACTTCTTTACATGGGCACATCATCTATATGGTGAATTTTCCACAAGCCATGTTTGATGACACCAGAGGGTATTTCAAACACTGGATCCAGAATGAAGCTGCTGTGCTTGTGCTGAAGTCGCCGCTCCTGCCGCCCAAGTCTCACATTGTAACCTTAGATATCTTAGATACATTACAGCAGCATATGAAACTTCATGTGGTAAATACAATAATAAACCATCTCCAATAGAGGTTACCCTCTGGTAAACTAACATAACTATGGAAAATCACCATTTTTCATGGGAAAATCCACTATACATGGCCATTTTCCATTGCTATGTTAGTTCACCAGAGGGTAATGATTGGAGGGTTAGTACCCCAGTCATGGTGGATGGGATGGTGACCATGGCATTGGCGAAGCCATCATTTTTTTTTGATGTGTCTTGCTCCATCAACAACAAAAAGAACAAAGTCCATAAGCCATCAACCTATCGTTTATTAATACTGGTTGATGGTTGACCAACGCCTCTGAAAAATATGAAAGTCAGTTGGGATGATTATTCCCAATATATGGAAAAATAAAACATGTTCCAAACCTGTCATTTAACAATACACATCACTCAAAAAAAATGCATATCTCCGACTCACCAATGCCCTGCGCTTGCACCGCCATTTTCTGACCGAAATCGGGTCCTTCGCAAGGCTTCTTTGTACCCTGCACCTGCACTCCATGGCTTCAATGCTTGATCTTAGGGATCCGTAAGTTTGCAACGTTTTTCATGCCTGAAGTTCACAGAATTCAGAACAAATCTTGGATGTGCTTAAGGAACCCCCCAAAAAATAAAATTAAAAGAAAAACATAAACAAAATATAATTTCCTATATAGATTCCCCAAGTAGTGGATATCCCATTTCGAAAATAAACCAAGAAACTGTTTGTAGGTGAGTTAAACACCTGAAGGACTAGAACAGCTTGGAATCTACAGTAATCCAGCGTGTGACCATCAGTTGCATCTATTGTATAGATGTGCATAACCCCCTCGGGTCCCCAGTCCTAAACTCGATCAGTTTCAGAGTTTGGAGAGAAAACATCCTCATATATCCCAACTTTCATGGTCCATATTAATCCATATTGCACCACTGTTTGATCTTTTTATATTAGATTCGACATATTTCAACATGTTTCCAACCATGAAACTAGTTGACCTTGATAGTCCTCAATGCTTCTCCACCCAGTCTTTTTTTGGGCAGGACATGACCCCATCCCTGCAAGCACCTCAGGTCAGGGGCTGCCACCTCCTTGCCACGTGCACTTCGAGACCTGTGGCATTCTGAAAGGTGCCGTGCATGAAGTAGGAGCAGAAGCGGTGCCTCAGACGCAGTCGGTACGACTGGAGGATAGTCGCCGCGAAAAGGGTGGCGACTGGTGCTTTTTGACATTTTAGGGTGAAGGGGAAGTAGCATATTTATATAATGTGGGGCCCCCCAGATAGCTAAGTTGGGGTTCACATAACTCCAATTTCACTACGGTTCATGATACTTCTAACTATAGTATTCATAGGGGTTATAAACCAACATTCACATCACTGGGGGGTCCCACATTTATAGATGGGTGAAGTCACGAAATGGGGACAACAAAACCGATCACCTGTTGGTTATTAGCAAGGAACTTACGGTTATCCCATTTATGGATGGGTTGTAAAATGTTATAACATGTTGTATATAACTATGGTTACCCTCCGGCAAACTAACATAACTATGGAAAATCACCATTTTTAAATGGGAAAACTCACTATGTCTATGGCCATTTTCAATAGCTATGTTAGTTTACCAAAGGGTATTAAGAGTTATTAACCACCCTATAGTTCAGCGCCAGAACTCTGGAGATTCAGAGTTATTAACATTTATTAACCACTAAATAGTTCAGCAGCATGATCCACCAAGTGGTGCCCCAGAGCCCCAGTCGAGATGCGAATACTGGAGGTTCAGATCCCTCAATGCCAGCAACGCTTGGTCCGCCGACTTAGTTCCTGCAAGCTGAAGCTTCACCGCACCTTTCTCCCGCAGGGCCTTGCGGCCGGGGGAACCAGGACCTTTGGGGGTGCTGTCAATCATGGCTAGCTGGGAAATCCTCTAGAAATGGAGGTTTCGATAGGAAAAACATGAAGTACAAAAAAAACACATTTGCCGCTGCCATCTTTGATTACCGGAGGGAATAGTTGTTGTCATCACATGATGATCACTGTGTTGTCAATGTCAATCGCATTCTGTCTTTGTTCATTCCATCTTTCGATTACATATATCATTGTGATTCTGCTATCACCATTAACATAGTGTCAACCAAGCAGGTTCGCAAGGATGCCCAAAACATTTCTCCAGAAACGATAGGATCTGAGTTTAGAATTATGCAGGGATCATCTGGCTTCCAAGGGTACAAAAATCTTCGGGGAAATATGTTGCACCTAAAAAAAACATGGGATCAGAATGGATCAGACAATTCATGACATGGCTGCAAAGATATCCCCCTGTTGTCATTTACCCATGGTTGTCATGTCAGAAAAAATTCCCTTGCTTGAGTCACCTTTCTTGGTAGATGAATAGTATTGATTAACTATATACCTATTTGCACATCACTCAAACCTCTACGCGTGATATATCCATGTTAGTGGCTTCATCATCAAGAAAACAAAAATATGGTTTATCGAACATTGTGTAAAAACACGAAATCAACTACATTCCCGCAGGATCCATGTATGGTATATATGCTAACATTGGGGGTATATTGATGGGATCCATGTTACCATATATAGCAGCACCATGGATCCTATGGGACTTGATCATAATCTTCCCCATTAAAGATGCCTCTTGGATGGTCTAACCAATTTTCAACCACAGCCATCGCAAACAAGTCACCTTCTCCATATACGCTGCCAGGTTATTGGGCTGCGTGTCGGCAGAGACGGACAAAATGCTGGTGTTTTGTGGCATCACCAATCCTGAGATGAAACCGCTGCACTCTCCCAGCCCCTGCTTATCTTGTACTTCAAATCAGGCAATTCGATCTCGAAACAAGGGAATAATATAGAATCATTTCTTCCTGACTATATCACATGTTTCCCAGTATACCCCTTCTGCATCCTTCTCTTGGTTAGTTCTTGTCAGATTCCAACAGAATGATACGCTCATGGTAATACATAGCTAAATTTCTGTTGAACAGTCACCAATAGTTCAACCAATCCTCCAATCCTCAACAACATGGTAGGTCTTGAAGCAAGTTTGCACCTCTGGGAATCGACCGATGGAACATGTCACAATTTTAATTTCCTCGCACCCACAAAAAAAAACGAAGTGCATGGCTACAACTCGAAGGTGGGTGCTGGTAGCTCCATAGAATTGGTACACTGTGACCCCCAGGTGCTGGATGAACTGACCCCCAAATGCGCAAATCCACCATTCATCCAGGGGTTTTTTGAGAGGTGGTTGCTAATGAGAATTCATGATAGTACCATTTATCATATATATATATCATATTTATATATATATATATATATACATACCATAAAAAATAAAGAAAAAACCTGGCAATCTCGAAATTGCCATGTTAGATTCCCAAAAGTGAAAGCCTCAACATTCCCTACTCTATCCTACACTTAATCTCTTCATTTTGGTCCCATCTCTTCAACCCTTACCGAGCCAAAAATATATCCCTCGCCCTGTCCCATCTCAATTGGTTCGTCAACCTTCCCAGTATGGGCTATAATCATTCCCTGTAAAGCAATTAGATCCAATTAGTATCCAATTAATTAGTATAACCCCTATGATCCCATTATTAAAACATTCACAGAGGCATTTTTTCATGGAAAAAACCCTGGAAAAACGCTGGGCCAAATCCATCTTTTCCCATGGCGTTTCCGCCGGGTCGCGTTGCTTCTGCTGCACGAAGCCCTGCAGCCAGTCCGGTCGGTCCCGGAGGCGCCGCAGGTGGCAGGCCGTCAGGATCCGCTTCGGGGCCTCGGCGGAAACCTGCCGCGCGAGGTAGGCCAAGGCGTAGAGGAAGTTGCCTGCCATGGTAACTGTTGGGACAGTAGTTCTATGACTTGGGTATGGGTCAAAACCTACTAATCATGTGGTATAAGGGATGACCATCAACCTTGAGGTTCACTGGGGGTACAGGGTTTTGACCCACATCCACTTTAGGATCCAAAAGTGAATGGCATTTATACACCAAGTTCTATAGTTAATTATTCTTGTTACCTAAGTTGGTTTAGTTCACTATAGTAACTACAGTATGAGGGTTGGTATGGGTTGGTATTAAACCAACAAACACAACTGGGGGGAGGGCACCGATTTTACCGATTTTTGGAATCACCAGAAGTTTGGTCATGTGATTTGCACCAAATGCCATTCACCTTTGTCAATTTAGGATATTTTCGCCACGTGGTTTCTCTTATAGATCTTCAATTTGTGACCCCGCAACTGACTACAAAAACATACAAAAACATCTTATTTTTCGGACGGGATCAAACTGTGAACCTTTTAAGTGATGCTTCCCAGATGGAAAGGTCTCTACCCAACAATCTCGAAGTGATTTCAGAAAGATCAAACTCCAGCCGCAAAAAAGATCCTGCTTTTCCTCAAAATCCAACTTTTGTTGGTTTAGACATTGTTTAGACTACCCGGCCTGGTAAACTAACAGTTTACGGACTGGAAAATGACCCAGTCGAAATAGTTGATTTACCCAGCTGTAAAATGGTGGATCTTTCCATAGTTATCTGGTTGGTGGTATACCTACCCCTCTGAAAAATATGAAAGTCAGTTGGGATGATTATTCCCAATATATGGAAAAATAAAAAATGTTCCAAACCACCAACCAGATATGGCTTTGTCTGAAAATAGGGTAACCCCCAACATCGATTGCTCAAGAATCACTGTCCCTATGAAAAACCTTCCAAACTTAGGGGGTGGAACCATGGCTAAATCCCATGGCTTCCATAGTTATGTTAGAGTTTACTGGAGGGTAATCATCTAGTTGGGTTAACATATACTAACCATTACTATCCATCTTCCGTTCATAGAGAAACGCGAAGCTCTCCGTGGGCTTCTCCGGCACTTCTCCGTGGTCCCCACGCCTGGACTTCTCTGAGTTTCATCGATCGCGGGAAATCCTGAGCTAAGCGAGCGAAGCATGGGAGATGAATCCCCAACTTGTGCCCATTTTGTTATGGAGGGTTTATAAAGGTTTAATCAGGAAAACAATGAAATAGATGAAGATGACTTAGGGTTGCATCCCACTTCAGTATCTAATAAGCTATGGCTTCAAACCAGTTGCCAGTCGGAAACACACGGGATCCCATTTTGAGCTGTGACATCACGCAAGCCGTTTTGATCCGTTTTGTAATCTTTGATTAGTTGTTGCATCCCCGGCTTGTTGGCTAAATCATTCAAACTCCTCATCACCCGTTATGCCCGTTATGTCTTGGTTGAACAAACATGTTGATTTGCTTAATGCACCATTGAAAAAGATGCACATTATTCCTGAAAGGTTCCCCAAACAATGGACTAACCAATGGGAAGTAAACACATGGCAGTGTGTCAAAACCTTGTACCCCTGGTGAACATCAAAATAGCTGGTAAATGGATGTTCATCCCACTAAAAATGGTATTAATAGGTATTGATCCATACCCACATGGGACCATCAAATATCGTCAGGGAAATCATCTCTCATGAACCACATCCCCAATTCTCCCCTAGGCAGCCCTTCGCAAGGTGCTGTGCCTCTTCGGTGTGCGATAGGTCCGATAGGTGGTTCATAGACACCGTGAATCCTTCGATATATCAAGAGTAAATTGGATTGATGTATGCCATATATGGTGACATGGATCCCATCAATATACCCCCAATGTTAGCATACTCATATATATATATATATACCCTGGGATTCAAAAGCCTATAAAAACAATAGTCGTTCGACAAGCACCGGTTTCCCAAAATAGTCGCACAGTTCGCCTATCTAGGGCTTAGCAAGTCCCACAAGTCATCTTAAGAGCAAATTTCGAGGGAGAAGTGATAACTTTTATTTTCGGGTTCGCATTTTTCCTGACCGCACCCCTGAGCGAATTTACTGCGCATTTCTGATTCATCCTCGATCAGAAGACTTGCCTGATATACTAAATCAAAGTTTGCATTGCGTACTCTTCATTTTTTTAATCATTCGACCACCCTCAAAACGATAATGTGTTCAATTTTCCTCGGACCTTTCAATTTGGTTGCCCGGATCCCTATCCAGCCATCCAGAGCCAAGCTGTTTTTTTTTGGCTATGTAAATACTACCACAATGCAGAGATATGCAACATATGTTTTATTGGAACTCTACAAGCAAACGCACTCCACCTGAAAAAGAACCACACGTTGGGATCTATTTGGCCCGGTGGCTTGAGTTGCATGAAAGAACCGTTCGCTGATTTCTTTTAGACCTGGATCTTCAAACGCTTATATAAAGCAAATGTGTGTGTGTGTATTCAGGCTGCTGCCTACTGTTTTACCAGGTGTCCAATAGAGGCCTATGTTTTGATCGTTTTTGCAGTTGTGGATCGGATTGTACTTGCTTGAATTCGGCAGTTAATTCTGTTTCACGTGTTACCGGTCTTGAGTGCTGGAAGTTCACAAATTAAGTCCAAGATAGTTCAGCTTATGCACCGTCAAGAGGTTTATGCACAATAATAAAACAGTTTCAAAAAGAGCCCAAGCGGTACCAAATCAGATGAAACGGATTTAAAAAAACTCAAATCCAGAAAAACGTTTGTTTGTGCCATTTTTGTTGTTTTGTGTGACAAGTCTTGTTGTTTGTGCAAAAACGGGTTCGTACCTAAATGATGCACCAGGGGTTCGCTCCGCGTAATTTGTATGCAAACCGCTGGCAACAAACTCATGTGCAGACACATGCACACACATGCACTACATCCATACAAGAGAATGCAGACCCCGGAATCTTGATTATCCATGATTTTTCCTAAATTTTGAGGGTTTGGGTTTGCCCATGTTTCCGCTGCTCATGTTGATCAAAAATGAGTGACTGCTTGAGCATTTGAATATTTTGAAGGTAAAACAGCGCGAAGCACAGGATTTTTATGTGTCAAGTCAAGAAAAACATCCAGCAAGGCATCCAATGAGAGTGCTGAGAATTGCCTAAACTCTACACAGGCAAAGTCCCTGCTATAAGTTTCTTTCCACTACCACCCACGTAACACTAACTTGCCTGTTTGACTTTCCCACAGCACCACACAAAGTATCATGCATGGCTTTGGCCATACAACCCACTACTGGTTACTATGTTTTCACCAATTGTTTCCAGAATGCCTAGTGGCCACATATGTATTCCAATATTCAAAAAAGCCGTACATGAACCCACACCATTTTTAAAGAAAAAGACAGTTTTCAAGAACCCGTCGTTCACGCATAATTATGGTCGTTCACGCATAATTATGGTCGTTCACGCTAGTTTCACACTCATTTCACGCTGTTTCACGCACCCTCCTCCCAAAGTCCAAAATTTAATTTTCAGACCATATTTTATTTCCTGCCAAATGCAAAGTATTTCCATATGAGGGTTCGGCTATCAGATCTAATTTTTTGTACCTCTTGGATCTCGCAATACACAATCCGTGCTGGGCAGCAAAGTCCAAGAAGCACAGCTGCACAACTAAACCCCCAACAAAAAGACAGAATGTTTATGGTCGTTGATGTATCCTTTTGGTCGTTCACGCTGGTTTCACGTTGTTTCAGGTTCATTTCACGCTCATTTCACACTGTTTCACGCACCCCCCCTTCAAGAGTCCAAAATTTAATTATCAGGCGGCATTTATTTCCTGCCAGATACAAAAGTACTTCCATATGAGGGTTCGGCTATCAGGTCTAATGTTTTGTACCTATTGAATCTTGAAATACACGACCCGTGCTTGGCAGCAAAGTCCAAGAAGCACAGCTGCACAACTAAACGCCCAGCAAAAAAAACAATGTGTGTGGTCACGCATCCTTTTGGTCGTTCACGCTGGTTTGCCGCTATTTCACGCTCGTTTCACGTTCCTGTATGATTGTTTCACGTTGTTTCACACTCATATCACACTCATTTCACGCTGTTTCCTGAACCCCCCCTTCCAAACCAAAACTTGATCATAGAGTCGCATTTTATTTCCCACCAGAACCAAGTGTATTTTCATAAAATGAAGGTTCGGCTGTCAGATGTGATTCTTTGTACCTGTTGGAGCTCGCAATACACAAACCGTGCTTGGCAGCACAACACAATTGCAAAACAAAATGCTCAACAAATCTCAACAAGCACAACTGGATACGACTGGCATCGCTCATCAAAACATGCAACAAACATCAACAAAACAAGGGCGAACCAAAGCGCTAAGAAAGACAGGACAATGAAGATTCATGAAGTCCCAGATCGATGGCAAGGTTGTTCATCCGTTCTGAAAGGGTAGCACGCTAGAGGTTGAGACCACCACTGTTCCGGAACACCATGACGAAACCTTGCACATCTTTTGGCTTCTCTCCGCATTCACACCACAGGTCTACCGACAGGCATACATGGCGCAAGAAAGAAGAACTTGGCACGGGGGCAAGTTTCACAAAACTCTATTTAAAGAGATTCGGCAACATGTTGGCCAATAGATGCCAATAGAAGGTCCGTTCAGGATGTATAAATTATATTTATCTTGAATATGCTTTTTGTACTTGGGTTGTACCTCTTCTGATGCAAACCCTATTGCAGGAGATTGATTTGCCTTTGTCCTCCAAAACGCTAAACAAAACATATTTCGCGCATATTCCCGCAGTATTCACATGTATTCGGCCATATCAGCCCAGATTGTGCCTTACCTTCGCTAGCCAAGTTGTGCGCCCCTATGAAGTTCAAAGCTGATCGGGCCCCTTCTGCTTCCCGTGGAATTCCTGAAAAAATAGTCGTTTGTTGATATTTATAGTCGCTCGCACCAAGCCTATTGTTTTAATAGTCGATGACGCCTAGGGTATATATATATATACCATACATGGATCCTATGGGACAGTAAATTGGATTGATGCAGTAGATCTCAGCATTATAACATAAACCCAACCGTCATGGATCTACATGACATGTAGATCCCAAGAAAATCACCACCGGCACCTGCACCGGAAAACGCCAAGACTCGGATCTGAGCAATTTCCACGCCATCATTGAAAATGCCAGCCATGACCCGGGCAAAGGCCTGGTTGTTACCTCATTTTGGGCCATGGTTGTGGTGTCCCTTTGGTATCTTTGGTGCTGCTTTACTGAATTCATGTTGTGACCTGAATACCCAGGAAACTAACAGTTTGCGGAAAATCACCATCTTTAATAGGTAAAGCAACGAATTTAATGTGCCATGTTAAATAGCTAACTGCTAGTCTATATATATATATGAATTGGCCACAGATACTGCTGGACAAGCGCGTGTCCACGATTCGGAAGAGACTGGACAAGGCGGCTTCGGCTGCCTGTTCCTGGAGCCGGACATGGGGATGGGACATGGCACGCTGGTACCTTATTTCGTTCACCTCAAACTAGCTGGGATTTATGGATGTTCATCCCGCTAAAATTGTAGGTATGGACCCATACCCACATGCTGGGACCATCATCCCAGTTCTAGGGTAGTAAGGGAAATAACACATCATACATCTTTAGAACCAGCAACTGGTGTTGCAACATGTCGAAACATGCTGAAGAATGGTCCAAGATCAGCAACCTGCTTTGTCTAGCAGGCCTCCACACACTGTGATCATGCTGGATCCCAAACGCATGCAGTTTCCACTACTCAAGGACCTTCCACAAAAGAAATCCGGGTTTTGTGCGACTGCACAATTACCTCTATCTGAGAGAATATGCATACTCATGCTGGAGTAATTTGGCAACTACAGGATGGCGCTAATGCCTGGTATATAAATAGTATAGAATGGGGCCAATCTCAAGAGGAAACTTGTCTTCACATGGACCTTCGTGCGACCTATGAACTCTGACGTTCGAAATCACCATTGCCACCAAAAAAGCAAACACGTTCATGGCCAAATACGCCTCAACAATGGATGTACATGCCCATATTCATCATTGAATCATTGCATATTCCTGGCCAATCCATCCCATCCAACTCATGGTACCTTGGCTGTCACCAAGCTATCAGCATTGGATTGGAACTTGGGCAATTCTCGCTTTCGCCTAGCGGAGACTGGCCAGGCGACTGGCCAGGCGACTGGCCAGGCGACAGGCCAGGCGACTGGCGGCTTGGCCAACACTTGAAGTTGGACCCAATGACCAAACTTGTTGTAAAACCGCCATTAACAATAGTAACTCATAGGAACTATATAGATATTATATGATATTATATAATTATATAGATATGTCACCGCCACCTTAAGGCTTTCAAGATGTTTCAAACCTGGGTAAACCTCGGAATTTCCGGTGCCATGATACATGGCTCATCCCATGGGAATTTCGGGATCATGGCTCTGTGGAATGAGCATCCCCTTTTATGAGAACACACACCATGTTGAAAAAACATGTAACATACCCAGATGCTCCATCTATGAAAAAAATACCCTTTTTTTTTTTGGCATTTTTAGGGTAAATGGTAAAGATTCCAGCACCATGGAGCATCTGGGATATGTACCAATAGCCAAATCTTGGGGTTTCCATATATGGGAGTACCGCACTACCCCAAAATGCTCTGTTTCGAACCTGCAAATCGGGGGAGAAAAAGTCAGTGCCAAGCTCGATGATTGTAATTAGATATTAATTGACATAATAATATGGACAATATTAATTAGATATATGATATATGGATATTAATTGACTAATTAGATATTATGATATTAGATATATGGAAAGTATTCAGATGATTAATGATGATTTGAGCCCAGTTTCAGAGTCTTGCCTTTCCCCCGCATGTATTGCCAATACCTCGACGACAGCGGCGCTTGAGATCACGACAGAGATACTTTGGAGTGAAGACGGTTCTGGTGCAACAGACGTCTGAAACGAAGGATAAATGACTGTCTGGTTGGTGGTTTCAATCCCTCTGAAAAATATTAGTCAGTTCGGATTATTACTGTATTCCCAATATATGGAAACATAAAATTCATGTTCCAAACCACCAACCAGATGTAAAACTATTGAATACCTGCAGGATCCTGCAGGACAATCCTCAGATTTTATGGATCGTCATAGCCCCTCTGACCGGAGTGTGTTTGACCTTCATGGCCAGCTTTAAGATACTCAGAGTGCACTGAGGCTATGACGTTTCAATCTTGATATCTTTGCGCAATCTGAGATTGCGGTTTCCACGGTATCACGGTGAGAGGTTTGATTCTTCACGATGTCACTATGTTAAATATCCAATCTATATCAACATCATCCACTAGTCGGGAGGATAAATTATTTCTTTCTTAAGAATTTCTCTGCGGCAAACCCCCATAAGAATCCATAAGATCATAAGGTGGTGCATTGATATCTACCTATAGACCCTCCAAATACAACAAAAAATGGTAAACGTACTTAAATCTATGGGGTGAAACATGGAAAACACCATGTTTGATGGCTACAAACACCATTTGTGTGGGGTAAGAAACACCATTCCTATGGTCAACCACCATAGAGTTGTTGGAGTTTCCGTTGTTTTCCAACGAAGCTCCCTGCTTCCAGCTGCTGCAGTGGAGGCAGAGTCAGCTCCACAGAGGTTCCAACTTTGGAGCCCAGCACCTGCGACAGATGTCGGATGGAGCAGCTGGAAATTCCCTTGGAAAAACATGGGAGAACCAGTTTGGATTTATAGAGGAGGTGGATTTAGTTGGCAGTGTGTCAAAACCAATAGTACCCCTGGTGAACATCAAAATAGCTGGGATTTATGGATGTTCATTCCCCTAAAAATGGTATTAATAGGTATTGATCCATAGCCATATGGGAAATCACAAAAAAAAACTTGGATTCTTTGGATGAACATAGCAGAAGTGAAGTGAGGCAAATAGAGCAGTGAGACTGGGCAAATATCCGGGCTATCCAATCTGTGGCCATCAAAACATGGGCAAAGTATGGCAAAGTATGATAAACCATGAGGTTTTGAGGCACCTTATCTTGGACTGATTTGTCTGACAAGCGCAATTGTTGTCCTACACCATGTAAAATATGTTCTGGATCAGCGACATTGCAAAATGGTGGGCTCCTACAGGAAACTACCTACCCATCACAGGGGCTTTGACGAAATGCGCGTTGATTTGCTTTCGGCGCTTTTCCCAACAGCCCCATGGGTGTGTCCAGTGGTTAGTCGTCATTTGCCCCACCAGCAATAGCCATAACTTGCTGGCCACAATCCCCCCATGTCCAGGTACCGTACAGGGCACCTTAAAATCCAAACTTTCTTCCGTGTGATTCTTTCGGCCCGTGAGCAAGGGAAGCTTTGCACACCTTGGCGATGGACAAACCTGCACAGCTCCACACCCTAGGCCAGCTGAAGTTGCTCACAAAATCCCAAAGTAGTCACCTTCTGCACTTCAGCCAAATCAATGACTCCGACATGGATTTACTTACAAGAAACTAAATGGACTTCACACGAAGATGTGTAGACAATATTAGACAATTAGGGGTTTCCATAAATGGGGGTTCACACAGATGTATAATGTATGGTTTATTATGGAAAAAACACTATAAACATGGATGATTTGGGGGTACCTCCATTTCAGGAAACCTCCAAAATTGCCTGGAAGATAAGCAAAGCAAGGGCAAGGCACAGCTTTTCCACGGGATCCACTTTCACTTCAGTCTCTGTCACCTCTTCAACTTGCGTCGCGCGTCCTTGGGAGGTTGGTACTCAGCGCAACTCCCCATATAGGTATTGACTTATCCCCATATTAGCTTATACCAGAAATTATTCTATCGGACTGTCCTTGTTTGGAAGACAATTGCTGTTCTGACCTTCACGGAAAACACCATTTTAGCCAGCGGGAGAAGATTGAAAACGAGCCCAAACAAAGGGTTGATCATTGGGTTTGTCATACTATCTGGGTAAATTATAATATTTCACTAACCTGATTTAAGGCCATTTGGGGATGATTTCCCTTACTAACCATGATTCCAGTGAGGTCGCAGTGAGGTCGTTATAATTTACCCAGAACTATAAACCGTCTGCAATGTGGCCATCAATAGGTGGGATATGGTGGGTTATGGTGGGTTCTTATCCCATCCTGAAATTTGCTTTTTCAGTGTGTTTGCCACATTAAATCACTTCAAATAAAACAAGGTTAACATGTGTTAACCATGTTTCATTTACCCAGCGATCTATATGCCGTGAAGTTAAGTTAGCTAACTTAGTGTATAAATGGATTATATATGGATATATTATAACTATATAATAAGTATACAGTAGTTATATTTTATTCATTATATACTAATGGATACTAATGGCATATCCATTTATTATAATCCCATCTAAAACGGTCCCCAAACTTGGTCATCCTCATTTCACCATGCTTTTTTCACCGGTGGAAGGATGATGGTCCTCCACCGGGGACCCACCGGGGACTAAACATCGCCCCGGTCTTTCTACAAGGTCGTGCCCCAAGTTCGTTTTGAAACTATCATAGAAACTATATCCCATATGCTCCATGGTGCTGGTATATTTACCTAAATTTGGGTGACTTTTTAAATTTTAGGGCAAATGTTGGTAAATATTCCATACATGGAGCATATGGGATATAGTAACTAACTCGATCAACTCCCACCATTTGCCCCGCGTCTGGAGGACTTCGGCGTTTGCATCTAACTATACAGATCTAGATCTACCATAAATCCGACCATAGTTGGAAAATGTTGGAGATATCTTTCCCACCTTTTTCAGGGCTTCATTTAGAAACCATCCCCTGAACGAAACACTCCAGGCGTCGCTGCAGGCGCATTCCCCCCGTGTCGAAGCGCAGCGCTTCGCGCGCCAAGCCGGGCACGAAGCTGCCAGAGACGCCTAGGACCTCGCCGGCAACACCGGTGGGCCAAAAAGGCTAGAGGTTTTCCATGATGAAACGCGGGAGTTCACCTGAAACGATATGGACATGTGCAGAAATTGAGTGAATTCACCATTAAGAATACATGATTTTATACAGATTTATCCTCAACAAAATGGAGCCCAAGGAGCCAAAAGTGAATTGTTGACCATGAAACATAAGGTTTAACATAGTTTCACCATGAAAACATCAGGTTTTACATGGTTTAAACATGAAACACTGTTATTCAATCCCATGAATGAGATCGAAATGGATGTGTCCAAAAAATCTGGATTTACTCCTGATTTGGGGACCGGTTCTATGATGATTATCTGGTTGAATTGGGGGTATCCCATGTGCACACACAGCTGAGGTTTCTGATATTCCGGCTTTCAGAAAAAGCCGATGACTGGATTTGTGGGGATTGACTGGATGGTCGAAACAAGTAAACATTTATGTATTGGCTAAGATCAGAAATCGATGGGAATTCCAGGATCCTAAAATGGAGGTACCTACCATATATAAGGCCTATTTTTTAGGCCTATGTAAGTGAATATCCCCACAATTCATATGGCCTTACATAGTAAAGTACCTCCATTTTAGGATCCTGAAATTCCCATTCAAAGGGGAATTCTAAGGTACAAAATGATTGCCAAGTCATAGGAGAAACAGACAACCGCCACCACACGGACCTTTCTTCACTGCCAGGCGACGAGTAAAAGCAATAGACGAGCAGAGTGGCCTGAAGGCGGCATTCGGCGGCATTTCTTTGATGGATTTGGGTGGGTTAGGTTTGTCGCTATGGGACTATCCCATAGCGAATATCTAATGGTTCTAAATCACTAGCATGTGAAATCAGGTCAAAATCACTTTGTCACATGATACAGCGCAATTAACGCACGTATACATACATATACATATATATATATATATTATCAACTAGGGAAACTCACCCTGATCCCTGGCTTTTCACCAGTGGTGCAGTATCCAAGTTTCCCCTATGTCTACAAGACGGGGAGCACGGGAGTCATTTGATTGTATGTTGAAAATAGGGTACAAAACTGGGTACTGCAGTTGTGTATATTGTATACTTGATTCATCTTGATTCTCTGTCAAGCAACTGTCATAGGATGGATTGCAACAGTCACCAAAATCTCTGTAGAGTATCTTGAAGATCCACTCCCCACAGAACCTCTCGTGGCCCGATGTCGTTCTTTGGATATGACAGCAGGTGCCATGGCCCACCAAAACGCGTGGACTCGGAAGAAGGTTGGGCTTGGCCCCCCTGACATTGAAGATGGGACAGATTTTAAGTTCTTCCTCTTCTGGCTTTAGCAGCCACCCTGTGACCCACTTGACTACCCCGGCTCATGCTACCCCACTTTGACGACACTGTCTCCAGATGCCGAACATTGCAAGAAACTGCATGTGTTTTGCTAGTTGAGCTGAGTTGTGTCTGTTTATCTAAATCAACGCAAATATGTGATCATGCGTAAGATCTCAAGTCTCGTAACTTCCTCCGACTTGCTTCTCTTTTTCCGCACGCCTTAAGTGCTTCAAACAGCTATGGCACGGTTTTACTGTCTGATGGGTGTCGAAATCAACCAATAAAATTTGACGAAGGAAATCAACCAAGCACCAAACCAAATAATATCATCAATATACAATATAACAGACCAGCCCAAGATATCTGACCACTTTCTCGGTAACATGTAGAACTGGGGTACATTCCATGTTGCTGCCGCGTGCAGTGTGGCGGCGTACCCCTTCTTGTAGTACTTGCCGATGTCCACGATGGTGTCGCCAAAGGACTGCAGGCACAGTTGGGTTGCTCGCTTGACATCGAGAAAAAATGATTGAACCCCCGCGACTCCACGACAAATCCAGCACCACTATGTTCAACTCTTGCAATACTCTCCTGCTTGGTTCATCGATTTGGATGGTTTGAATTCGCATGTTTATTGAGAATCAAAGACATCTTCCTGACAATTCCCGACCTTAACAAAAACGCTTCTTCATTGACATCGTCACTCTATGTCAGTCCTGAAGATACCATGCAACAATCTTTTGCTGGCTATTGCATGCTACTACATAGTTATCCCAGTTATTCTCATTATTTATGGCAAACGACTACAGTATTATAAATTATGATGGTCCCAAAAAATTGAAGGTAAATCATGATTCCTTTGTTGAACCTTCTTTTGGAACAAACATTGTCTCTTCTTTCACCATCCAACTATCCTTCATCCCTAAACGCGCACAGTATGAAACTGAATTTTCACCTGTCGATTTCCCAACCTCTGTTGATACGGAAAATGTCCCCATCATGTTCTTGATAAAATCACAAGGTGATGCCCCGCACTTATTAATGGATTTATAAATATTTATAACCACCCTTAACTAGTTCAATATATCTACAACGGATCCCAGTTGTATTATTACCTATGAACTAACTTTGCTCTCCAGCAGGGACAGCACATTGTATCACACAGCCAAAGGTGACCGCATCCGATATATAATATATGGTTAAGGCTTGCCCTCATTAACGTGGCTGCTGGTGGCTAACGAGCCCCAAACATGAACTTTGTGTATATACTTTCCTAGTTGAACCACAGCTAAATTGAATTAATTAGTGGTATTGTTGAAACAACAACAATAACTTATCAATACCTTTTGATAGTACAAGACACCATATGGGTCTGTCAAAAAATGCTGGATACCTCAAGATTCTCAGTTTCATGAGCGTTTTTTGAACCATCAAATTCTAGGGGGTTACCCCAAATTTTCACACACACCCCACATCATTGTCAGTTGATGAGTTACATCCCATTCATCTCTGATTCATATCCCCAACCATCATCCCATAATCCCCATTTAAAGATGGGAAAACCACAGTAAAATCTCGATTTTGATAGATCATTTATAGATTTCACCATGGAAAACCATCTATAAATCTATAAAAACATCATAAAACAACTATATTTCACCATCTTATTGATGATTTATAGCCATTTATAGCTGTTATTGACCATGCTATGATCTTCCCATCGATTTTCCCACTGAACCCACGGGACTCCCCCGGCCTTCTGCGCAGCGTTCAATTCCTCCGAGGTGATATCTTCCGACACCGTCCTGGAGACGACTTCTGAAGATTTTCGGGAAAAACCCTGGGTTTTTTTTCCCATGTTTCAATGGATTGGTTTTGTTGGGAAAATCTTAACCGGAAACCATAGAATTTCCCATTAAATATGGGGTTTTCCTGTAAATTTATACTATACCCATAGGATCCATGTATGGAATATTTAACAACATTTACCCTAAATCTCACCCAGTTTTGTAGGTAAATATACCATACATGGATCCTATGGGCATGTTGACAGAGGGATGTTCTAAACCCAGAAATGCAACCCTACAGGTGCTGGAATATGCACACCTAGTTTTTTTGCCTGAAAAATATTAACAACTAGTTTTGTAGGTAAATATACCAGCACCATGGGTTGCATATGGGTAATGGAAGAACAAATAATGCATAACATATCATAAAATGGTGTGTTTGATGTCCATTGCTATGTTTGATGACCAGAAGGTACAAGTTTTCATGACAAATACTCTATGTCCAATTTGTGTGTCCAACATTGGTCTAACCATTTGCTTCCCAAGGGCCCAAGCTAGGTGAAACATGTGAAACAAACAACAAGGGCAAAACTGGATCCAACTCACCGCCATCCAACCTGTTGCTGTGGTTTTGGTACCTCAGCTGCTGGGTTTTTGCGCTGTGACCAGAACCAAGCTGTCATCCCTTTTGCTGAAGCTCACCCCAAGCACAATTATGAGGGCGAATCTGAACCATGTATCTTGGGGCTTACCTGCCTAGGGCCTACATAGTTGAATCCCCCAAAAAATGACCATTGTTGATCCGGAAAATCATGATTATCCTTTGGATCATTGCGGGTACCAGGCGCCCAGCGGAGCAGATGCGAAGTGCAGGTTGATTCCTCAGTGAAGAAAGGGAATCACCAGGGTCGACGTGGGTCCCAAAAAACCGGAGATCACTAAGATGAATGGTGATTCACACATATTCAACATAACATATATATATATGTATATATATATATATATATACACATTTTTATATATATATACATATACAAAGATTTGTGGAATGCTGATTCCGGTAAATTGTCTATGTCCAATCTTGAATACCCCGGAAAAGTCGTGATTCTTAGTTGCTTAGTAGATATCCCCAGCAACCTTTAAAAACCAATATTTCAATCTTTACATCACACCCGTCTCAACCAAGGTTCTGGTTGCCTCTGGTTACTATATCCCCGTCAAAATGGTTATACAAGGTGGTGACCACCAGTTGAAAGGTAGTTGATAAACCATCGTGACTGGTTTGATAGATCTATCATATAAACCCAACACTTATCGGAGTAGTAATCTATCTATCTATCTATCTATCTATCTATCTATCTATCTATCTATCTATCTATCTATCTATCTATCTATCTATCTATCTATCTATCCCTATGTATATATATATATACAGTATATATATATATATATATGGTATACATCTATCTACAGTAGTCTATAGATATATCATGATATATCTACCATTCTGCAGACCATTCTCTACCAATTCACCCTACTTATTGGACTTAGAAGCTCTTATTTTTACCTCACGCTTCCGACCCTGGTGCCCCTTTCCTAGCCCCTGGGAAGCCCCTGCGCAGGTGTCCCTCTTTGTCGCGGAAGTAGCCGAAGGTGTACTCCAAGGCGCTTTCGTTGCCGGTGACCGGATCTGGGCCGTGCAGATGCCATGGCTCCGTTGTGTGAATCAATGGCTTGGCGAAAATTTACCAAGGAAAAACCCATGATTTTCATGGGAAGATCCATGGTTTCCGGTAGATTTTCCCGAAAAAAACAAGCCATTGAATGAAGATATCTGCCAAAAAAAGGTGGGTTACGGTGGGTTTGATACTTTTTAAATGATAAATCCCACATGTCTACCTGATTTCAAGTATCCATCTTCATTTTTGGAAATCAAAGAGCCCCTCGATTAAGGACATCTACAAGGAAATGCCCCATAGTTTCCCAAGTTGGTTTAGAACAAGGTTAACACGGATTTGTGATATATATATATATATATCTCTCTCTCTCTCTCTTATTATATATCCCATAGGATCCATGTATGGTATATTTACCTACATTTGGGTGATATTTAGGGTAAATGTTGTTAAATATTCCATACATGGATCCTATGGGTATAGTATAGTATTCTATAGTCAGGGGGTTATAAACCAACAAACATAACTGGGAGGCACTACCCTCCAAGATCAAACAAGTTTCTCAAGAAACACCTTTCACAAGGATTGATGATGATTGAATACCAATAGGATCCATGTATGCTAGATATGGTAACACGGATCCCATCAATATACCCCCAATGTTAGCATATATACCATACATGGATCCTATGGGATATGATTCACATTTAAGTAGTCACCAATTGGTGATGATTGAATTGAATTGATATTGATGATGATGATGATGATGATGATGAAGAGTATGATGAATACTAACAGCCCCTAAAAAAGGATACTGTATGTCTTTCTCGAGGTGCCTTCGTGGGGTGTTTGTCTCGAAGGTGAAGTGGGCAACATTTTGATAGGGATACCGGGATACCACTTTGAACTTCATATTTGGTTGCGCTGTATTGAGCACTTTCTGGCTGGACATTTTGACTTTCGATGCGTGCTATTCCAGCAAGAAACAGCTGTTTAACTAAGAGTCTGCTTCCAAGTAGCATAGCAATTACAAAACATGAACGACCGCTTCCAAGTGAATCAACGCACATATTTTCCTCCACATTTTCCCCCGTTCTTTACGCGAACGACACGCGACAGAGGGCCTCTGAAGAAACAGTTGCCCATGGCTAAGGCTTGAGGGCCTGGTACCACTGGGATTTTTTGCGTAGCTTGACATACCAAACTATGATCAAATGGCAGTGTGTCAAAACCAATAGTACCCCTGTAGTTCACATCAAAATAGCTGGGATTTATGGATGTTCATCCCCCTAAAAATGGTATTAATAGGTTTTGACCCATCCCCAAATCAGTGTCAGCCACGAAGAAGGAATGACAATATTGAAACATTAAAAAACAGAAAAATCTGACTCCTTCTTGATGGCCACTACAAACTATGATGGATGAATATGGATGATGTTAACTTTTCGTAGTTATAGTTATAGCCAAAATAGTGAACATGTTCCAAAATTAGTAGATGTAGAGTAGGAACAGCAGTTGAAACATGGTAGCATGGCTAACTAAACCTTGCCTCCTGGGTCTTGGGGAACCTCAGAAAACCAAAAACTCATTGTAATGATAACTGATAACTTGCCATCTCCACATGTTCATCTCCACATTAAAACCACAAGGTCTGTTGATCCATTTATGATTTCTGAGTATTTGATTACATCATATATTCCCAGAATTGGATGTGCAATTTGCTCGGGAAACCCTCATGGTTGACCATATTTCATGGAGGAAACCTCGGAAATCCTCATATTTGATGGTGCAAGGTGGTGCCCCATAGTTCGCTAAGTTGGTTTATAACTCCATTGCTTGGGTTTATCGTATATTATATATATACACATAGTTACTATGGTTTATAAACCAACTTATAACTCGGGGGGCACCACCTTGTCAGATACCCTCTGGTAAACAAACATAGCTATTGAAAATGGCCCATAGAAATAATTGATTTACCCATGAAAAATGGTGGATCTTTCCATAGCTATGTACACGTTTACCAGAGGGTAACCATGGTTTCAACTTGTAGTCAGTTGGGATTATTATTCCCAATATATCGAGAAAAAACAAACAAACCACCAACAAGCTCATATTTGATGGTAAGATAACCATGGTTTCAACCTGTAGACCTTACATCAATTTCTGATCCACGCTGATGCCTACGTGCCCACGTGCCACCTTAGGACCTTGGACCCTCTCCGGTGAACCCACCTTCCACGCTGATGCCAGCATTGTCAAAGCGGATCTTATCCCTCACCACAGCAGCCATCGAAAATCGTTGCGCTACTTTCAAGGACCAGTTTCCACAGCAGTGTGCTACTTTCTTCAATAACTATAGAAGTCTTTAATACGAATATAACTATAAAATACTACAAATATAATATGTTGCTTGTATAATATGTATATATGTATATATATATATACTTATTTAATGTTATTTACGTATTGCCTGGGTTGAAATCGAGTACAGGATCCGAACAACAAAAATCAGAGTGATCCACAAAATGATAAACCCATCTTTGGCTATCTCCAGGCGTTAAAATCCCTAGAGACCCACACCCAAAAACCACTTTCGGTACCACAAGATGCACCCCAATTCCTCCATGTAAAATGCCCCAAACTGATTGGATGATATCTTTAGTTCCTCTTCAATTTCACTTTTCCCTACAGATTCGCAAAACAGATTTTCCCTGGTCCAGAGAGGATGCTTGACTATGATTTACTATTGGCTTTACCTCACTAGATCTGGTTTTTTCACCTACTGAACTGGAACATCACCATTCTTCATAGGTAAATCATGGAATAATTAACTTCTTAACTGTGAATAACCTAGTTAGTCAAATAACCTAAGTCATTGAATAATTATAGTCGGTCACCATTCATTCACCATAATAATTGTAGTCAAACCATCCTTTTCCATACATGGTCCATGGCGGAGATTCTGAACACGAACCATCCAGGCTATCCAGCGTCAGAACCCATCGAGCCCAGCGACCAGAATTGCCCTACAACGAAGCCTTTGTCCTTGCGGACGCGGGCTTGAACGACAGGCAACAGAGACAGGAGTAGAAATAGCGACACACAATAAGATATAATATATATATATATATACATACTAAAATAATGATAAACTATTTTTGTCCGACATGTTTTGATACATACTTGGATGTACATGCCAGTTAGCACGTGGTTGATAGTAATCAACAATACTAATCTCATTCAGAATAATGATGACACCTGCAATCGATGGGTCATGAACTTGCATGTACCATCTGGTTATTTAACAGTTCGCCATGGAAAGATCCGCCATGCTATTCATAGGTAAACCATATATTTCTATGGGCCATCTATACCATGGCTATGTAACAAATAACCAGAGGGTAGCAACGCATTTTCTGGCACGCCAACATGGAGATCAAAAAAACCATCAGCTGGCGACAGGACTTCCACCCCAGACGATTGGAATCATCATGTCTGGAACAACACAAGTGTACGCTAATACATGTATATACTGGTTGGTGGTGCAATATGGTGCAATTTCACCATCTTGAAAAATGATGGAGTTCGTCAATGGGAAGGATGACATCACATATATGAAGTGGAAAATATAATTCATGTTGCAAACCACCAACCAGTATAGGTGTGTATATAAATATACCTATGCATCTATGGTGGTCAACATGTAGGGACCCTGGTGTTCAGATCCCAATGTTTTGGTCCCAGATCTGTTGTGAAATATTGGCCTCTACTTTGACCAAACGACAGAAAGTCATCTTTGTCATTGGTAAATCATCAAACAAAAGAAGCCATTGCTATGTTAGTTGAACAACGGGTATTCCTTTAAAAACTTTGCATGTAGCTTTGGGAACAGTTTTGACCACCTATAAAAATGGTGATGACTGATGGTGCAAATGGCATTGTTTTTCCGACCTTATATCCAAAAAGCAATTGAAATCACCATGTTTTACGCTCCAGTAAATTCACATAGACCCTGCCAAATAAGGGTTGGAAGATTCATTTCCAGTAAAAACTGGTGATTTTCAGGGTCAACAAGTTAATTTACCAGAGGGCAAACATCAATTTGTCACCAATCAACCAAACATCTAGTTCATTATCTTCATTATATTATATGTTCATTATTAAACCATATTTTCCAGAGGGTACCCTCTGGTTATTTAACATAGCCATGGTATAGATGGCCCATTTATAGATGTTTTACCTATTAAAAATCGGATTATCCATGGCTACCCTCTGGTAAACTTACATAACTATAGAAAATCACCATGTTTAATGGGAAAATCCACTATTTCTATGGGGTATTGTCTACAGCTATGTTAGTTTACCAGAGGGTATGTTAGTCATAACCAGATGGTCTATTTTTTCCCCAAGGGCTTGACCCCTTTACCGTTGCCACGTTGCCTGGGCTCCCTGGGCTCCCTGGACTCCTCGGGAAACTCTTCGTAGCCGCCCACGAGGCTGGAAATCACGCCGTCTTTGGTGGTGCGGAACCTTGGTTTTGGGGTAGATAGTGGGATGTATAAAATCCCTTATAAATGGAGGTTTTAATGGAAAAATCATCTATAAATGTGCCATTTTCCACAAATCCATGGATTTACCCTCTGGTAAATTAACATAGACCCTGGCAGTCATCGGGGTTGGAAGACTAGTGAAACCATTAAACATTGGTCATTTTCAGGGTCTATGTTAAATTACCAGAGGGTATGTTCTAGATATTTTTAGTACATCATCATTGATGCATGTATAGTACCAGAATATATATATATATATATATCCTTCAATGATTGGTATACAAGCTGGATGTATCAATGATGTATCAATAAATATAGAAGTTCAATAACGTAAATTCGTGTATGTATATTATTATATGTGTATATATATATATGTATAAGTACAGACTAATTATGACTTGTTGACAAAACAATTCAATCATCAATATAGATACCCCAAAAAAAAATACCTAGTTGCATGGTTCACCCTCCAACCTTCGTTGGAGCCTCCCTTGCTGGTCTTTCCAGACTGCAAATGCTATGGCTAATCTGGAAATCCTGCAACAAAAAAATGTTATGCTTGTGTTTGCTCGTTTTGAATACCCAACCAGCTGGCTTCTCAAGAGAGTACTCAATTGTTGTTCGTGTAAACCCTATGATTGATACCCAAATTGTATCAAATTGTAAGGACAAGTCTTGGTGGTTGTTAGCCCATTGCAGAGCCCTTTCTCTATTGCCTTTGACACAGGTTTACCTATTTATCCTTGTTCAATTCCTTGTCGTGTTGCTTGACTAATAATATGATCTAACAACACATATCCAACAGCAATGTCATGTCTTCTGGGTTTTCTGTGGATTCCCTATTGCAACATGTTGGGGTCCCTATTTCAATGTTGATTGATGGCTAAGAATAAACAAATCATAGTGACTCCCCAAAAAGATAAAACAAGTACAATCCCAAAAAAATATTGATCATTTGCTTTTCGGCGTCTTTCGGGTTGCTATAATTATTGCTGTCTTCTATTGCCCCCAGTAAAGATAGACAAGTAAATCACAACATTTTTTGCCATTACATTTCTATGATTTATACTTATCTATCAATTTGGGAGTTGCTATACCCTCTGCTAATCCCATTATAGTCCCATTACTGTACTATCAAATCATACAAATAGCACCTTAAACTGCCTTAAACCCATATGAACTATATTTATCCCTATGAAATCCCTATGAATTTCCCATGGATTTCCCCATGGATTTCCCCATGGCCAGGCCAGGTCCCCCGGGGCCCTCGGGGCCCCCGGACGGTTTGCTGGTGGAGTTCACCGGCTTCACGATCACAGGCTTCAGGCCGTGGCCGTACCTCCAAGGTCCAATGGTTTTTTGGTGGTGGTTTAATGGTGATTTCATAGTGATTTCATGGTGATATCCTAGTGATTTCATGGTGATTTAGGCGATTTTAATGGTGATTTAGTGGGATTGAATGGGATTGAATGGGATTGAATGGGATCTATTGGGTGATCTAATGATGATTTCTTGATGATGCTTCAATGGTGATCTATTGATGATTAAAAAACTGTTCGTGATCTAATGGTGATTGATCTATTGATGATCTAATGGTGATTGATTGTTGGTGATTTATTGTTGATGAAACAAAAGTGATTCAATGCTGATTCTAGTGGTGATTGGGTGTAAAGGTGCTTGAATGGTGATTTAATGCTGACATATGGGGATTTAAGCATCAAACATGGTGATTCAAGGGTGATTTAACCATCCAACATTGGCATGAAACCATCAAGAGTAGTGGTATAGAATTAATGATGGTTACAGTGTTAAACCATTGGGATGAAACATTGGTTCATCCCAATAATTAATGATTTTGACTACTGGTATAAAACCACAATTAATGAGGATCTAATCAAAAACAGTGTTTTTTTTTTCCAGGAGTCAAACAAAAACAGGCTTCCCAGCCATGTTTACCAAGCCGATCCCCTGACCCGGGGCACATCTGCGTCACAAAGGTCGCTGCTTCTTTCTTGGCCGCTTTGGGTGACTCCGCATACAGCTGACCTTGAAGCAGGGCAGCGAGGGCGATCTGCGAGGGGATTGGATTAAAAAACATGGGGCCGACTCTGTTTAAGGGGAGCGAATGTTTTTTTTTTGACCCTTGTAGACTATAGATATTGGAAGTGTTTGAGATTCATCTTGCCATTGATTTCTGAAGATAGGAATGATGGATCAGCATGCTTGGCACCCTCAAAAGCGGATCGTTCACCAGGTTGCGTGAAACGGAATTTTGTAGGGGTGTTCAAAAACCATTACTATTACATAATACATATATATATACCCTCTGGTTATTTAACAGTTCGACATGGTATAGATGGCCCATAGAAATAGATGGTTTACCTATTAAACATGGTGATTTTATGTGATTTTCCATGGCTATGTTAGTCATAACCAGAGGGTATATCTTGGTTCAAATACAATATACTCACGTGGTTTGGTATAGATAAATGCATCATATATATATATAATTACTATTATTACATAATATATATATATATAATTAATTATATACCGTTAAATACCTACAGTATTACAAACCGGTGAGCTAACTCAACTGGTGGTGCTTCCCATCGGGAACCCCGGGAAAAAAAACCGGAGCCCGTGCGCAGGCGCAGGATTCCGCTGCCCCACACCTGGCGTTTTTATGAGGGGAATTTATTGGTGATTTAATGATTTACATAGGAACAATGGAACTATGGCACAGATCACCCTAGAACTATGGCACTGATTTATTTACATAGGAACTATAGGAACAGATCACCCTGGAATCCATGTTTGCCAAAGTGAATATAACAACATGTCATAACCACCCCCATATGCTCCATGGTGCTGGAATATTCACACCAACATTTGCCCGAACAAAATGTAGGTAAATATACCATAATCCATAAATGAATCATATGGGATAGGAACTAGGAACAAATCACCCTAGAATCCATTTTTGCCACGAAAATGGGGATGTTTTAACATGATTTGATGCGGAAACGTGGTGATATAATTGGAGATCGTTTTATATAATTTTCGGAACAATTGACATGTCTTCACCAACAAAATTGAATCAAGTATCATGTATATACCCTATGAATCCAAGTACTTTCTTAGGAAGTGTTGTGGGGTATGATTTAAGGTGTTAAGTGTTAGGTATCTTCTCAGACAGTGTTTGGATCCATAGGGTGTATATATATATATATATATAAAGAGTAAACGCACGGGTAATAAATAAAAGAGTCAGAACTTAACTTCCGCAAAACGTTTTGTGTCGGTTCGGCCAGGCCCGTAACCGCACTAGTCACAACTCCCCAGATAGCTTCGGGCCAGACCCTCCTTGCTATCCAGCCAGAGTTCAGATCTTCCTCGTGATATTCTCCCAAAGAAACATGATCACCCTTTCCAAGGCATTTTCTCCGTTTCTGTTGCCCTTTCTTGGGCTTCTTTCCACGGCCCCCTGACCTTCCGTGTTTTAAACACGGAGGCTCAAGTGTTTTGAAAGAGGGGGTGGTGCAAAAACGCCTAAAGATGGTAAGAAAAGGTGCAAGGGTGGGTAAGGTTGAGGGCAGCTGGAGTTCGGCTAGGACAGCCAACCCATCATTTATGTATATGCGTGCCGTTTTAGGCGCCTGCCATCTGCCTTGCAACAAAATTTGATCCAAACTATGGTGGCGATTGAACCACCAGGTCGCACCGCCACGGCGGAGACTATAGGGTCTGAAATCAAAACGTTGCAAATGAAGGGATTCTAACGATTGGTTAAAGAGAGAGCGCCACTTGGCTGGGCTGGGTGAGAACCCTGCCGTAGGCGCAGCAATGGATTTCCATTGCTGAATAAATTTAACCACCATATCATATCCAATCACACAGGACTCAGCAGCCCCTTGGCGTTTTCCTCCTTTGGTAAACCCCAAGGAGACAACGACTTTAGATTGTCGGCGATCGCAATAAAGATGGTTAGCCCTCAAAGCTAGCAGTTCCCCAGTCCTAAGCATAGCATAGAAGCCTAGAAGCAACGAGACCCCGAAACTGACATGGCCATGAAAGAAGGCCCACCCGGCCATGGCATGTACCACATGTTCCGGCACTGGCGGGGCCCGGTTAGGGACCTCATTGATGCTCCACGTTTTAAGCAACCTCCAGGCACCTGGTAGGTGACCCTTGAGCTTAGCATCCTGGTCTTGGAGCCCTGCCACTGTGTCACTTGCTAAGGCGCGACCTTCACCGGTCGACCAAAGGTGCTCCAGATAATCACAGACCAGGGGATCCAGTTGCTGCCTCTGTTTGGGTAACACAACTTGGTTGTTTTTGAGAAATTTCAAGAAGCCATCAACAGCCTTTGTGTATCTAGCCTTGGTGGCGGGCTGTACTGTAAGATCACGTAAGCTACCTAGTTGTTGTCTCTGTTTTGCTCGTGCTGACTGTGTACTACCTTCCAAAAACCTTTTAGGCATTCCGGAACTTAGTCCTCACCCGCTTGCCCCAGCGGCTTGGGGCATCAGCGGGATTTTGTTCCGTATGGACGTAGCCCCAAAGGGCCTGGGTTCCTGTACACAGCAACAGAGCATTTATTCGAGACAAACAAGATCGCAGCTTGCGGCTGCTCGACCGACCGCGGGACAAGCAATGTAGGACGACCAGGGAGTCGGTCAGATGCACAAACCGACATCCCGCATGTCCCTGATGCTCGAGCCTCCACCTAAGGCTTGTAAGGACGGCTCGGAGTTCGAGCGAATTGATGTGCTCGTGACCCCCGCGCCACTTCCAACCAGTGACAACCCGCCAGCGCCACAAACGGGCCGGCACAGAGGCCCGAAGCCGATGATATTTTGTCAATTGGCTTGATGGAGTAGTGAGCAAAATGTCTTCACCCTTGATACTGATCATATTGCAAAGTTTTTCAACCAGAGGTTGGCCTCCACCGTCCTTGCATGGTCCCCGAAGCGGGCGCAGGGGCCTGCGCCACAGACGCGCCTGCATGTAGACCAGGCCCGAAGGAGTGAACAAATCCATCACCTCCTGCGGCCCATACCGAGGGCATAAACCCAACCGGCTGAACAGCTGCGAAAGGAGCCATGCAATGACCGGCACCGACCAACTGTTCCCCACCAGGGTGTGCCTGATGTCTTGTTGCTGCTGACTGCCTCTGAGCTGTTTGGCTACACACCCTGCTGTATATCCCACTGGGAATCCCATCATGAACTCTTTTTCCTCGATGCTCGGCAGCCGATACTCTCCTGACTTGCTCACGAGGAGGTTACGGTCGGCATATTGATAGGGGGGGAACCGGAAGTCATCCTGTTGCCATCTGGCAACCAGAGGTGCATTGAGCCACACCTGCCGGTTTGCGCCCTGGGCTTGTCCTAGGCCTAGAGGTTGTAAAGGTCGGAAAAGGTCTACTGCAATCAGCCTTGATCCAACCTTCCTGGCACACCAACTCAAGATCTTGATGAGCTTCAAGGATGACCTCACCGAGTTCCTGGTCCCTATCCAGCCGGACGCCAGTCCCCTCTGTCAATTCCCAAGTCAACCAGTAAAGACGAGGACGGCTGCACCAAGTCATCGTGCCCGCATCACATTTCCACGGCTGGCTACCGAAGGAAGCAGACATGACTTGGCGGTCCTGCGGATCCATGGAAGATACACTCTCCATCAACCCATGCACCTGACACCACGGGAAATGGAGTCGCACTGCGCCCAAGATGCGTTGCACGTGGACGAAGAGCTTGGACCTTTCATCCCGCAGGGCCCCTTTCCGATCCGCGTTGAGGCCACTGACCCCCTGACAAGGAGGACCCCCTCCTACCAAGACCACGGATGCCTGGGAGTAGACACGACCCCACTCCCGCACCATGTCATCATCGACATCTTGCACCAACGAAACGTGACGGACCTCAGGGAAATGGGATTCGACGACTCGCCGGGCATGCTGATCAGGTTCCACGCTGACGTGTCCAAGAACTTCGAGCCCCAGCAGGTCGGTAGCCACCCGGAGGGCTGAAATCCCGTCAAACAGTCCAATTGTAAGTACGCGATGCTCCTGCCGCAGCTCCGGAAGTTGACCTCGGAGCTGACCCTCTGACACTAAGGCGCCCCACCGAGAGCATCCTGTAGAGGCGCAAATGCCTCCGCCGCTGGTCGAGGCGTCGCTACAAGTGACCTGGTTGTGAAAAGGGAGCCGGAAGTCCAGACGAGCTAAAGGCATGAGGCCGACCAGCCTCATGATTTCAGCCTTGCACTGTTGAGGGAAGTGTTGTGTTGGAGCATCACAACCGTTGAAGCTCTCGATAAAACTCCACACCGTATTCAAGCACCCCAACAAAGGACGCCTGAACATGCTGATGTATACCAGGCCGCCACAGACCACTTGAAGCTGTTTTTGAGTCACAAAATCCTGGCCTGTCAGGGAGAGCGCCGCCGCGAGGTACTTCAGTAATTTGCCCTCCGGGGATACGCCACGCCTTCTTCACCATCGACGTGGGCGCCTTGCACTTCTGCTTGAAGTTGACGGCTGACACTCTTCTTGAAGTTTGTGGGTATTTCCCATTTTTCATATTCTTGGCGTAAGGCCAGGACCGAGGGAGCCAGGGTTCCCTCCTGACTCCCGATTCCCAAGGCCTCAACCTTTTCAAGAAGGTCGTAGTTGTCGAGGTAAATCCGCCAAGCAGGATTCCGGACAGTAATCGGCCGGTCCTTCCTGATCTCACCCTCCGGAGGGTTAAGCCCACCTGGGTCGCCACCACCACTCCAAATTGCGAGGTTGCGATGGACATGCTGTGCCAACGACACGGAGTTGAGGAACCCCATAGGGAGGACCTTGGAACAAAGGTACACCTCCCGCCCTTGCAACTCGATTGGCAAGCATGAGTCTGGAACTCGTTTGTTGAATGCTAAGTACTTGTACCAAGCGTGTGGCACCGCCATGGTGTAGAAGAAACACCTCACATCCTCACTGCTAATCAGGAGGTTGTGGGACGGCTGAAGGAAGAAGGGGTTCATCAGACTCCAGCTAGGCAACGTCTCAACATCGCCTTTCAGTGGGTGGGCCAAACGATTGAGAGGAATTAAGTTCATGATTAAACGAAAGACTTCCGTTTCACCGACCCATTCCTCTTTGGATACTCCGAACAGCCCATTAAGGAGGGGTCCATGACCTGTGTCAAAGACCTCCTCCACCGGGAGGTAGGCGCAGACACCTGCGCTAACCAACCCACGGCAAACTTCGGGCCATTGGTCGTCTGCCACCATCACTCTTGGAGCTTTGGACAACACCCACGCTGATTTATCCTTCAAAAAACCATCGAAATTCTCAACGTAATGCCTAGCCCCCAGAGTGCAGACCTCTTCCAGGGGGACCCTCCCTATCTCAGCCGGGAGGGCAGGTTCAATGTTGCCCCAGCAGAAACTTCTTGCTGTCTTTATTTCATCCCCTTTATAGTCAATCCCACGGGTGCTGAAGAATTCACTCCAACAGAAAGGCTGGAACTGACATGACATTCTCTTCAGCCTAAGCACATCTTTGTGAAGTGATCTCAAACATTCTGTAGTGGCCCGCGACACAGGACCCTCATAAAAAACTTGGCCGCCCCAAAGCGAGTTCAAAGAAACACCAATGGAGAGCATCCAACCCACAGATCCCTCATCCAGATCAGGGAACAACTTCATCAAACTACTCCTAGAGGTAGGTAAGGGAAAAATGTCCTTAAATTTTCTCTTACCCGTGTGCGAGATGCGGAGTGTTGAAACCTCTAGAAGTTGTTGATGAACCCTCAGCCCCAAATCTTGGATCCTCAGACCTTCAAGTTCGCTTAGGTCACCCTTTTTTCTGCCTTCGGACTCAGCGACAGCATCACCAGCTGTGCCATGGTATGTTTCCCTTGCACTCTGCAAAAAAGGGACCGAGGAATCGGCCTTTGCACAACCCCCATGTGAAAAAGGTTGTGCTGGTGGAAAAAGACAGGGGCTCTTCTGGCCACACTCAAAACGTGCGACCTCCCCTGTAGAAGGTGGATGACTTGGGCCCCTGAAATCAGCCCGGTCCCCCACAGTGAAACAACCACCTCCCGTCATAGCCTCGGGAGGTGCCTCACGGCTCAGCACCCTCCTGGAAACTCCTCTGCACTCAGGAGGGGCACTCACTTCTTCTCCTTTCCTTTGCCCTTCTTGCCCGGATCCTCTTTGCGCTCTTCCTTCTTCCACGGCTCGCGGTCCCCCTTTTGCCACTTGTTCTTCCCTTTTGCCTCGCCTTTGCCCTGACTGGTACTCTGCGATCTCCACCTCGCTTGAGCGTCCGCATAGTCTTCCTTCTGAGCCTGCTGCAGCTCGGTCCGTGCCACAAGGCCCTCGGCTTCCGATGGGGGAATCTCGAGCCTTTGGGCGATGGCCCAGTGAGTGCCCTGGGTAATGGCCTCCTGGGCCTTTAGCCTTTGAGCTATCACATCGGCTGCCGATGCAATACGGCCTTTCAACATCATGTCGAGCGCAGTGCTGAGGTTGAGCATCTCTCGAGATTGGGGGCCGCTTGCCCGTTTGGATAGCACACTGCGGTAGTAAAGAAGTGCTACCGGTTTCAGGATCCCTTCCTCCTGGTCTTCGCCTGCTGCGGTCAGGAGGGACCGTTTCATCGACGCCAGCGACTCCATCGCCAGCGCACCTGGATACCTCTCGGCGACGCCCCTGATCTTGGTCTCCTCTGCAAACACGGTGGTCAGCCCCTTGACCTCCTCCAGGCTGCTGGAGGAGGAACTGCTCGAATTCGACGATCCGCTGGTGCTCTTTGACTTCTTGCTGGACACAAATTTTTGTGCTTTCGAGAGGACCCTTCGCCGGACCCTCTCCCGCGGATCCAGGGCGGTACCGCCAAAGACCTCCTGGGTGGTCTTCTGTCCTGCCAGACCTGGGTGACGCCCGTCTAAGATGTGCTTGTCCTTCTTCTCCTTCTTCTTTTTCTTTTTCTTCTTGTCTCCTCCTGGCATCTCCCCCTGGCGTGGGAGGGCTGGCACCCCCTCCCGGACTTCTCTGTCTGCGTCCTCTACTCGGCCCTCCTGCGCCAGGAGGGCCACCCTCCTCCGAAGGTTGGCATTCTCGTCGTCCTCTTCCTTCTCGGGCCCTAGGTTGCCAGTCCAGGGCTCGTCTCCATCTCGCTTGATCTGGCGCCCCTTTAGCGCGTGGACCTTGTAGTCTCCCACATCTTGGCGACTGCATCCCTCCTGGCACACGTGACACCGGAAGACCTGATTCGGCTGAGCTGTATGTGTTCTCAGGAGGGCTTCGCTGTCTGTACCCTTTGCTTTTACTACCAAGGTGGTCTCCCCATACTCCATCTCCATCTTGATCACCTCGCATGCCAGCTTGACTCGAGCACCAAAGTAGTACCCCTCGGTCACAGCCAACAAGCAACCGGGACGAAGGTCTAAAGGAGACACCTGGTGAAGTGGCACCTCCTCCCCTCGCTCCCACGGTGTTCCTCCCACCGCCGGCCTCCTCAACAGCCCTCGTCGCTCCGGGGCCGCCGGCCGCCGCAAGGCCGCCTTCGCTCTGGCCTTGGCTTTGACTTTGGCCTTGGGTGGCATCTCTACCACCTACCTCTTTGGTTGCTGTCTTGAAATCTCCTGGCGCGGAACTCACGCCCGCGTTCTCTTCTCTTCTGTCCCTTGTTGTTTTTCTTCTTTTTCTTTGCTCGCCTCCTCTCTTCTCTTGGGTCCCTTGGTCTCCTGACCAAAGGGGGCCTGTCAGGGCTCCTTGCCGCCTCCGACTGCCTGCTCCTCCGAGAGTCCCCGGGCCTCTCGCCTGCTCCGTGGCGGCCTCCGTCTGGCCTCCTCTCTGACCAAGCACGTGGGGCCTTACGTGCTCGGCTTGTACGTGTGTCGCCCCTGCTTCCCGAATGAATCTTGGGAGCCTCCTCTGATGGTTCACTCCTCCTGGGCCCTCTGGCTGCTGCCTTCCCAGTAGGATACAACTGTAAAGCCCGTGACAAGTAGTGAGGGTCCTGCTGACTACCTGCTGCAGCCGGAAGGATCCTTACCTCTCTTCCTCTCCGTCCTCCTCCTCGATCGCCTTCCTCTTTTGCGGCTTCTGGCGTAGGAGGCTTGTCCTGGTCCTCCTGCTGCTCCTCCTTTACAGGCTTCTCAGGGGCTGGAACGCTGGGCCCAGCTCCTTCAGGAGGATCGTCCGCTACGTGCTCCTCCTCCTCTCCTTCGTCTTCCACGTAACTGTACTCACTGGGCTCCTTCGCCTTGTCCTCTGCGCCACCTGCTGGCTCAACCGACCCGGGGGTTAGGTCCTTTGTTCCCCCCTTACCAGGAGAGCCTGCCCTCGGAGCCGGCCCTCCTGATAGCTGAGAGCTCTCGACGAGGTCCGCGAGCTCTCCTGCGACTCCTCGAAGGAGCCCTGTCACCCGACGCTCCTCCAGCAATGGGACCTGACCCGACTGGAGGATTCCCAAAATCCAGTGGCCTGCTCTGCACGCCCCACAAACCGGACCTGTGAAGACCCGGCAAGAGGAGCACCTCATGAGCTTAAGCCAAAACACTAGGGAGGTAAAACCAAGTACGTGGTTACTCTTTAACCCCGGGGGCGTGGGACCATATGATTTAATCCTGGAGGTGCTGAATCAACTGACGGGTACTCGTATGAGGTGAGTCACCGGTCGCGGGGTATGATGTGCCACAGTGTTCCAAAATCAAACAAGGGAACCCACGAAAAAGAACACAACAAATTATAAATTGTATGTTGTGTGTTGTGTGCTCTGGTGGCAAAGCCACCAGATCATTGTTGGCGTGTGGCTTCCTCACCTTTACACCCTGGAAAGGACTTAAGGTAGATTCCATAGAGTGGGCTCCACCATGTGCTCCTAAAAACGGATCTCTCACCCACAGGGATATCTTGACCAATCAATCTCTTACAGCCACCTAAGAATCATCAAGGACCAAACATCAAACTCTCACCCAGCCAGTCTCAATCACCTTCACAACATGTCTCAAATTACCGCTGCCGCACTGGCTGGCTGCGGGATGCCTTTTTTGGCGCGTGCAGTGCCTCAAGCTGCCCTCCCCCAGTCCGCCGAGGACTTTTCATTACTGTACATCATCACTGGTTGGTGGTTGCCAGCGATCCAGACATGGAACTGAAGTGAAATCACCATCCACCCGCTCAAGGAGATGGAATCTTTTATAATAGACCACCAACCATATCACCAACAGCCAACCACTAGGGCCACACATCATGAAAGCTGCTTTGGCTGTAGCATCTTTCAAAGGCAAATGCTTGAACAAATTTGAAAAGGACAAGTGTAAGCATGTGTCAGCAGAACACCTTGCAGATCCATGCAGCACAAAGTTGACGGTAGTGGGATATTCTATCTGCCCAGCAATTTGCTTCTAAAAATAAATGCTCTCATGAATACCAGAGCTACAGCCAGGCTTTGGCCCAAATCGCAGGAAATGGCTGTTGGACCCCATGGAAATCCAGTCTCTTGACTCTTTGTTGCTCCTTTTCTTTCAAGTCGTTTGTTGATGTCTAGCGGCGATTGCTGGCGCATTCTTTGGATCTCCTGCTTCGAACAAATTTCAAGACTTTTTGTTTGGCAAAGATTTCAGTCTTCCCAAAGGCACACTTTCGGGGCATCAGGAAGCTTCTCTTTTCGTCCTTGACCTCAGCATAGCCAAGGTAAAAAAAAACGCATCTGACACGGATCTACAGCAGCAATGGATGCATAGGAAGTCACAAGTTGCTTCGACCTTTAAGGTTCCTTAGTGCCCTGCTGCGCGCGGATTCCCCACGCCTCCTGCACCAAGTGTCAGCACCTCACTTCTCATCCTGTTCTTCAAATTCGAGTTGTGCTCGAACCCCTAAGATGATTGAACATGGATAGTTTCCACTATATTAACCATTCAGAATCTTGGGCCCCAAATGACAGCTCTCTCCTTCAAGGCTTCATCGCAGCGCTGCCGCACCGCAGCTTCCAACACTTGCTGCCAACCTTGACATTTCTCGACAGTTTGGCATCTGTTAACAACAGATCAACAGATCAATGTGGGGCCCCCAAACGAAATCGCTAAGTAAGTGAACATAACTCCAATTTCACTATGGTGTATGATACGCAAATAACTATAGTACAGTAACTATTGGATATATATGGATGGATCTTTTTGGAAAGCAGTTACCTTGGAATTGGATCCAGATACATTGAAACCAATTTATAACTGCAGGGCACCACCTTGGATCACAGCATTGAAATAAAACATCATCTGGTTGGTGGTTGACCTACCCCTCTGCAAAATATGAGTTCGTCAGTTGGGATGATGAAATTCCCAACTGAATGGAAAGTCATAAAAGATGTTCCAAACCACCAACCAGTCATCATCAGCAAATGCGAGATGGTACAGTAAATGCTTTTTGGCATTATTCATTTGTATTACATGGCAAATGAACACTGCTATAACTCACAGCACCACACCTCCGGACCCTTCATTTACAGTTTCTAACATGAATCAAAT